CCCTCGAAGAAAGTTTGATAAAGCGGAGGTACTGAGTATGTAATGGACACATCACTTCCCTCCCCACCTCTGCTGTAACGTACCTTAGTCAAGGCCGTCTGCTTCCCGATAGCAAACGTTCCTGAAAGGCCTTTACCCTTCAGCTGTGTCGGAGAAAGAGACAGAGACGTCTTAGTTAAAACAGTTTTTAGTTTCCTCCACATTCAAGACAAGGTTTTTGTTTATATCTCCACATAGAGAAACACAGAGACTTCCATACTTTACCTGTTTGATAGTTCCCTTCTCCAGGTGTTTCTTCATTGCCTTCTTGATAAGAAACTTCTTCCTGTCGAGCTCCATGTCCGGATATTTTTTCCCAATGAATTTCATGACGGACTGATACGAAACCCCTGACTTGTCGTTACAAGACTGAAAATAGAAAGAAAAAATTACGAAAAGGGAAAAAAGTCAAACACGTACGACTGCGGTGGACTCAAGACTTCGTACACACCGTGATCGCTTCAATGAGGATATTATCCACTTTGTTCTGCGTTCCTGCAAAGTTGGTAACTGGAAGTTTTTTGCTGGAGGCGACACTAGCCCACGCAGGAATCGTCCTTTTCACCTTCTTGACTTTGGCTTTCTCGTACTTGTAGCCGTCCTTTAACCTGTCGCCAAAAAAGGAGCAAGACACAAGTTCAGTGAAGCGGCCTGAATCTCTGGAAGCGATATTTCACTGTGATCGTTTTCACCCTTATCTTTATCACATCCTCACCTTAGTAGGAGAACATAGCAGTGTGTTGCACACTGTCCAGCCGCGCAGTCCTTGCATTTGTCACTTTGTCCATTTGTCACCGACGGGAAAGACAAAATTAAGTTTGAGAACATCTGTCTTAAAGGACCACCATGATAATTTGACCCTGACTGGATTTCTAGGCTACTGAACTGTGTGCAGAGAAGTGAATCTTTTCTTTGTCCAGCTCTGGGAAAAGAGAAGGAGGAGAAGTAACCAAGACTTTGAGCTAATAAGTTGAAAAGAGAGGAAAGTCCCTGACAGTAAAACTGGAACTAACTGGAAACACATTTCCAAATTTCCATCCCCTACAGGTAAACAGACTTTTCTAGAATTCAGATCACTGCGCTCAGTCGTGTTTTTCAATAAGGAAGAAAAAATATAATCTGAGCCTTATTCTGAAATGTACAGAATATAGCATCACAGCTAATGCTGCTGTGTGAGTTTTCAGATACGGACTGAACTGGTAACACATTCTCAGACTTTCTTGATGTCACGGTTGTCTCCTCCTCCTGGTCTCCCCCAAGAGACGGGTACATCTGTCTAACAGCTACGTAAAGAGGGGGATGAATGTGGCGGTGACAGGTCACATCTTGTGGAAATGCAACACTGCGACCATGAGGAGCAGTCTGCAGTTATCCAGCAGAGGTAAGGATCATATAAACAGATAAAAGTGCCATCAAAGTGAAATATCGCAGTGTTCAGAGTTGCACACTAGCTCTCTGGTTGAGACTCACTCTTTCTTCTCTTTCCCTTTTCCTTCCTTCTCCTCCCCGGCTTCGTCATCGGCCTTCTCCTCTCCGTTCTCTGTGGGCTCCGCATCGCCCGCCGCCGTCTTGCTCTCACCCTCGGCCTCTTCCACCTCGGCCGCCGCGGCTGAAGATGCCGCAGGCTCCTCGTCAGCAGAGGGCGACTCCTCCGAGGCTTCGGGCTCTGAGGGGGAGACAAGGGTTAGCATTATAAAAAAAAAGGTCCCCTGGCTTTTAGAAACAAAGACAACCATGAGATACCTCCTCCCTTTTTTTAAACCCAACTTTAACTTAGAGTTCATAGAGAAGAAAGGATCCCACGATCCAAAACTGAAATACAGTAAAACTCCAGTAGATGTTCAGAATCTTCTTCAGTTCATGACCGAACTAGATAAATAAAGAAGTTATCCGTTTGTTTTGTAAGATTACACATGAACGTCTGGAAGGTAGAGGATGAAACTGGGTGGACAGATGGAGTATGGGTCAGAGAAGAACCAGCTGCATTCTGGTGCAGGTCATGAATTATGTTTTAATAGAACATCAACGATGGAAGGAACACATCTTTGATCATTGTCTGTATCTATGATGAGCTCTCAAGGTGCTTAACAGCTCTGATCATGCATTCACACATCCACCTGCAGCACCTTCTCCACGAGAAAGGGCGATTGACAAGGCTCAGCATCTTGCTCAAGGACACTTTGGCATGCAGGATGGGGAAGACTGGGATTGCACCTGCAACCTTCTGGTCAGAGGACCCCATTGTTTTGGTGTTCTTAGTGTTTTCTCAGGGGATCATTCATGGATGTTGATGAGAGGAGCGACATATATGAGTGTGAGCAACTTAGTGGATTTGATTGTGACACAATTCTCTTATTTGTGGGATGAACGTGAAACTCCACATCTGCTTTATTTAGACTTTGCAGTCCTGTCTCTGGGCACAGGGGCTACACCAATAATTATGAAATTAGAAATGTGATGACCACACTTCCACCTCCAGACTCATGGAGGTGTGTGTGTATGTGTGTGTGTGTGTGGGGCTGCAGGGGGGGTTCGTGCTGGGCTGGGGTCTGTGAGCTGGGGGGACCTGGAGGACTCTGGAGCTCAGGTAATGGTCGACCCCGGGGGCCTCACCTTTCTCTGCTGCAGCGGAGGGGGCCTTCTCCTGGGTCGGAGTCGCTGCTGCTCGGCGTATCGGCATCACACACACGGGATGAATCTGGATGGAGGAAAACAACAAACGCCGAGGCTGAGTGAGGGCGTGAGGCGGAAACACGGCGACGCCGCTCGGACCAGGTTTCATTCATTGAGGCCCAGCGCACGAAAACACGAGAACACAACACAAACAGAAAGGTGCGTTTGTTTCTGGTTCAACACGAAGCACGGTCGGGCGGTGCGCGCACTCCCCCGCTAGCATTAGCAAACAGCCGCTTTCCCTCGAGCCCCGGAGGAGAGCAGCGAGGATCTTTCTTTCTCTTTTTTTTTTTTTTTTTTTAAAAACAGCAGTTTCGCCATTTTGTCCGCTGGTCTGTACGCACAGTGATGGCGTCGCACACGGCGGATAAAATGCATTTCACTTCGCCCGGAGTGTGTGGGGTGAGGGGGGGGGAGAAAAAGAGCGGAGACCCGGCGGCTCCTGCGCGTTTTCCGGCGCCGGCTCCGTGCATCCGAGCGCCCGGCGAACAATCGACGACACCGCGGGACGAACTCACCTGAGAGTCGCGGAGGAAAAGTGAAAGAGTTTGTAGTTTGAATCCTGCACGATCCTTTATTTAGATTCCTGCTCAGCGGCCCCGCCCCATCACGACCGTTGGTGACGTCGCTGCGTCGCACGTCACGTCGCAGGATTCCCACTGTCGTGGCGCCGGCCGGCCGCTGAGAGGCGCTGTTTCCTCCCCGACGTTTAAAATGTTAGAATATTTTAAATAAAATAAAATAAAAAAAAACACGTTGGAGCGAGTTCGCGTCGTTTCTGTTGATGTTACACGTGGAGATGAGTTATTAAAGAAAAGGTTTTTAAAGTAGCTTCAATGTGACAGTGTTTCGCTCAACACAACATTATTTAAATCACCTGGAAGCTGTTCTACGTCTGATTAAATATATTTAAATCCAGGAGGGAGTTTTATTTTACGTACAACTTTGTCTCAATTAACCGATTCGACTGAACCTCGACAAGTTATCCTTCTTGTTTCTGGATAACGTCTTCCTGTGTCTCAACGATAATCTAATGATCTTGGATTTGTGCGCTGCTACGATTGTATTTATGTATTTGTTTGTATTTTATTTCATTTACAGATATTGTGTCTGCGATAAAGTTGAATTGAATTTAAAAGATTACACAAAATGAGAAACTAAATTATAATAAAATTTAAAAAAAACAACCATATAATTATTAAAACGAATATAAACATTTTAATTAAGACAATAAAAATAAATAACTATATTAATTTAATTAATAAATGTATTTTTAAATGATTAAAACTAAAATATAATAAAAATAGCTATATTAAAAATAAATATATTAAAAAAATTGAAAAATCTTTGTAATATTTCTTTATGTAGGTATTTGCTGATGCTACCATTTGTTTTTCATATTATTTATATATATTTTTTTACAGGTATATAAAGATATCTTGGAGAGAAGCCTCTTACAGGTTCATTGTAATTGAGTATGACGATAATTAAAACCTCTGAATCCTGAAAGAATCTCTGATAGATTTCAATTTGACTGCTATGACTCACGGGAGCTGCATCGTTCAATGGAAACCATATAAACCAATTTGACCTTGGTTAAATCTGAGGCCTCGTCTGTTACAACAGAAGAATCATTGACAGAGTTTCCTCAGACACACAGAAACCAAACAGCTCTCTGATCAGTTGATCAATTCATAGACAATGATTAAAGGAAATAATCCCTTCAATTCAGATTCGCTGGTTTCTCAGTTTTCTAGGAGATTAAACATGTTGGTTTTCTGAAAGCTTCTCTGACAAATTTAAATGATTTAAATTTAAATGATTATAGTGAGTTTCTGATTATATTCACACAAACAATGAACTATACTGAAACTCGTTTCCACTGTGTCTGAGGTTTGGGGAGTGTTTTTTAACGTCTCGTCCCAGAAAACAATTGAAGCAATTTGATAAAATCAACGCAAACATTAACTGAAACAATATTAGTCTTAAAACTAGAATTTAAAAATAAATAAATGAGTAAAATACAAGACCATCAAATGGATTACGGAGGATCCGACATAGATGATATTCTACTTCAATGCTGCAAATTGGAGAGAAACTTTCAATGAATTAAATTATGTAGACCCGGATGATATGGAGGGAAAAGCTCTGGCTTTTGTGGGACAGTTGCCCACTTTGCTCAGTTGGTAGCCCAGGCATGGGTAGACCAACATGTTCAACTTAATAAACTGTGAATATAGACAGACAACTCCAGTAAAAAGCGATAAAAGAAAAACCTTCATGGGAAATAAAGTGGAACAAACATCTGTTTAACTGTCTAATGATAACACAACAAAACAACTTTTTCTGATCAGCAGTGGTAGACAACCGTTTCGTAAACGTAAACATCAGTAACTTGTTTCAGCTTTGTGGAAAGATTAAAAAACCCAAACCCCTTAAGAATACACACCATGAACAGAGAGCTCATCCTGAAAAATGAGCGTTTAACCTTCATTGAGAATAAGCAACAGTGATAATAAAAAAAACATTTGTACAATATTTGCATAATCAACATCTTGCCGCTTTTCTGTCATATTTCATTGTGAAGTGAATATTTCAGGGTTTTGGGTCTAATCTTCAGCTCAGTTCTCTGAAATGCCTGTTTCACAAGATACAGGAATATTTAACAGAGCAACATTTTTGCTTGGAAACAAATTCCAGTCAATGAATTGACTCATCAGTTGACCAAAACCTCTCTGGTATCAATGTTCACAGTGGGTGTGTTGTGGTTGATCTGGCGGTCATGTGACCACATTATTCCGGACAATATTCAAACACGTCATGGCTGCATAAACAAACATTCTAGGTACACACATGAAAAAAAATATGGTACAAATGAGAAAGAGATGAGGAGACAAGCTGCTGAGACACTTTCAACGACACAGTGCTGTTGGTTCGTTGGAGCTTCGACGACTCAACAGACCAAACGAGCGGAGCGTGTGTCGTGAATCCTGAGGCGACGCCAGCTCATCTCTCAGCTGCTTCTTCTGGTCACATCACACAGCTCTTCTGACGATGCTACAGCAACTTCCAACACAAGAAACACCGTCTCAGTTTATCACACACACACAGACACACACACACACGGAGTTGTATCCCCTATGAACACCAACCATGGAAAGAACAAATCATGAGAAGGAGCATTTTTAAATACCTTTTTTTGTCTTTAATGTATTTACAAGCGTTGAACCTGCTCTGTAGGTCTGGAGTATTACAAGCATGTCTTGTTTCTTGTTCAGCGAACCTGGCCATTTGCTTTTTAAAGTTGCATTTTTGCTCTTTTCGTTTGAATGTATCTGGTTTGTTCGTCTGCATTTGTTTTTCGACAGTTCTGTGGACTGACCTGCATCGCTTCATGAATGCATACCTCTACCTCTCATGAGGTGTATGTACATATCAACGCAGATAACCGCAGAGGCTCTGTGGTTGTCAGGAGGATAACCTTTGACCCCAACCGTCACACACGGACAACGTTGACAGTTCCTGTGCATCCACTTGTTTTTCATCTCTGCTTCCCCTTCATCCCAAAATAACTTTGTTTTACCCTGTTTTAAACCAAACAGTGTGGAGTCCAGGGAGGCTATTCATTTCACAATTATTATTTTGTTATTATAATTAATTATATTGTTATTTCTGTTCTGTTGTCGTGAGCATCTGCAAATGTTAAATAACTTTCATATTTGCAGTCCTTAAAAAAATAATAAATTAAAGAGTCCGGAACCTATGTATCTTTTAAGTCTCTTCTTATAAAGTAACAAAAGAAAAGTAAGTTAAAATTTAAAACAAAAATATTTTCTATGTATAATACAGGTATTTAGTGCTTCTGCCGTTGGAATCCAAACTCAAAATGGCGGCATGTTTCAGAACCGTACCGCAGAAAAAAATTCCAGCCGTAAACATGTCGTCCTGCTCACGCACCCATTTTGAACGTTTGTTCTGCTGTAAGGATGTAGTTCTACTACGTCATGTCCCCCAGGGGTCTCCCCTCGTCAATTATCTTCCGACTCCTCCTCCGCCTCCCGCAGCCAGGTGAAGAAGGCTGTGACGGACTTAAGGGCCACGCCCTTACCAAGCTGCTCAGCCGGGTCTTTGCTCGTCTCCCACTTGTAGAAAGCGTCCTCTGAGATGACGTCCTCGTCATACAGACAGTCGAAGAACATCCGGAGAAGGTCTGGAGATACAGACAGAGAAAGAGAATAAATACGTGTCAGTCATCGTCAAATGGAAATTCCTGATGCTATAAACTGAATTAATGTGATCTGAATACAGATAAGAAACATAAAATGGATGGATGAACTAGAAATTACTTTCATTTTAGAGCAGCAAAGACGGCATTATGTTTAAGATTGTTGTGATTTGGAGTCGGCGTGATCCTCAAATGAAAAAATCAAGTTGATCTCAGTGGAGAATAATATCGAGATTCAATGTTATTTACGGAAGTCTCAACTTTCAATCCAAATTGTTCGAGAGGTCGTTAAAGTTCTCAAAAGTAAACTGAAATATAAAAATAAATAGCATTCAATACAGCAACTACAACATTAGGAAAATCTAGAGCTTCTAACTGGACCTTGTGGTGAGATTACACTGTAACACTGGTTTAATCACAGCTGTGAACTTGTAAACACAGTTTACTCTTAACAAATGAAGAAAAAGAAAAAGATCCTCTTTGAGTTTCATTTGGAGTAAACTCTGATGCAGAACTTACTTGGAGGCTGATCGAGGGTGACGATCAGCGCCTGAAGTGCATAAAGTGCTTGCAGCTGTCGCTCAGTGTCTGAGTTAAGGTACTTGAGTAATACAGGCAATCTCCTCTGAATGATGGCCGTGTCCACTCGACAGATGGTGTTATCATCTGTACAGTGAAGCAGGAGGCAGAGTAAATTCATTTGTTCGGCAGAGAGTAAATATTGTAATCAGTGGTGCGATTTCAGCAGAGTAGAGGAGTCTCTTACCTTTCACTGCTGCCTTACACACAGCTGTCATCAACGCCCTCAGGAAGGGAGACGAGCTCATCTGAGAATCATCCAGGTTCGCCTGAGAATCGGAGAGGAGGAGGAGGAGTGAAAACACAGTGTCAAAATCAGCTTAGAAGGGACGACACTGAAGAACAGTAAACACTTGAGCCGTTATCAGACATGACCTGCAGGTCTGCAGAGGACTGATATCTATGAGTCATTTGGTGCAATTTGATAAAATGTGAGGAGACTGTTGGGCCTTGTAGGAGGTTTAATCTACTGAGTGCTTCTGATTTTATTTATATTCTACCAGATATTGGTGCGGGTTGAAAGCATGTAGATGAGTAATGAATGTATTTCTGGTCTCAAACTGGAGCTCATGTTTTCATTTGTATTGTTTGTTTGTCAGCAGGGTTTATCAAAAACGACTAAACAGGGAGTAACTCCGCCCCACTCCGTCTGCCCTTCAGGGTTTTTACCACTAAATCACAGAGACTGGTTGATGCCACATGTCGTACCTCCACCCAGTCGAAGATCTGCTCGTCACTGGCCATGTCCTCCAGCAGGAGTCTCTCCAGCTGTTGTCTCAGCTCCTCCGGAGACAAGACTCTATTGGACAGAGTCACCTCTGAGCTGGAGGCGTCCGACTGAACAAACTGGAGTTTCTGTTTGAGTCAAGATGACATTGATATGTTGAGAAAGATGATGAAGCGGAAACAATAAATAGGACATTTCCTATTTATTTTTATTAGTTTAACAGTAACCAAGTGTTTGAACATTGATAATTGACCCTTGATGAGCGTTGACCTTCATCACTGACCTGTTGTGAGATGAAGGCCTGGACGTCCTCTTCCTCCGGCAGAAGGTCAGTCCAGTTGAGGCCAGATTCCCTCCACAAAGAAGCCACAGTACGATGGCTCTGTTGAGACGAGACCGGACAACGTCACAAACCTATGATCTGAAATGTCTTTCTAATTCATTCACTTAATGGATGAGAGAATATTTTCTTCCAATTAAAACAGCAAATCATCCTCGTTGATTCCACCGAGGGCTACATTTAGCATTTTACTGATTTCTAAAAATGATAATAGAATTATAATAACAAAGTCCATCATCTACGTCTATTTACATTATATCTGCAGCTGAGTCACTGGTTGTAAACTACCTGCTTCTTAATGAGAACAGGTGAAAACAGTTAACAACAGACTGAAGTGTTTCTCACCATTTGTTTGCATAGTATGTGCAGTATTTCAGAAATTAAGATCCCAGCTCTTCCCACAGGAAGCAAAGGTTTGCTTAATTCACTGTGAACAAACAGACAACAGAAATTAAAATACATCTTTGAAGTCTGAACATATCTTTCCTTCACACACAGCTTAGTTTGACGCAAACACTCATCACGGTAAACACTTGTGTGGCTTTTTCATGGGGTTATTCTTCATATTTGTGAGGCAGTGACTAAAATGATCAGCTAGAGTGGTTTGGCCTCCAAGCTCGTGCACATGGTGTTGATTAAATGTTTTTTCCTGGACACCAACTTTCACTAGATATCACACACATGGGGTCCATGAACATGAGTGTCTCCTACCTAAAGAGCTCTCTCATAGAGAAGCCCCCCTCCTTCAGCACAGGGCTGAGCAGCTCGGCCAGGTACAGCCAGATGTGGGGAATGTCGATGGCCATGTCATCCGCTTGCTCCAGCGTGTCTGCAAACCTGAGAAAAGAAACAAGGATGTTGTTGTGGTTCGAAGAAGAGCTGCTACAAAACACAGACCAGCATCTAATTATAGAGCACAAACAAAATGATTTCTTATAATCAAAATTTAAATTCAGGAAGTTTAGAACCAGAAAATGTTTACATGTTCCAGAAAGAAATCAATTCATCTTTGGCAATTTACTTTACAATTTCCTTATAACTGACGTTATTTAAAGTTTGAGAGGGAGAAACTGAAAAATAAATAAATAGGGCCCCAGTAAAGGGACAGAAGACGTTTTCTTTCTATAAAAGGTATCCATGCCAAAAGAGACAATTCTTTATTTCCAACAACAACATTTTAGAAAACCAGAAACCACAGAAAATGTTCAGTTATTCTCTCTTTTCCCGTATCGACATCTTTATAGGTTTTGAAAAATAATGAACAAGATGATAAATGGCTGAACATCAACTATATCTATCTACATTTACTATTGTATTCTCTACACAGGGTTTCTAAATTAATTAATAAGCAGAAGTGAGCAGGGGGAACTGACCCTTTGTAGAACTGGGGTTTGGGCATGGTTCCCTTCTGCACCAGCTGGAAGAGGAGCTGGCCCATGTGGTCCCGTGTGATCTGACTGCGTTCCAGAGTCGACTCCACCCCGACCCGTATGAAGATGTGCAGCTGAGAGCACAGATCAAGTTCTTCCACACACTGGACAGCCTCCTGCAAGAAAGCAGAGGGGTACGTTCAAGACTGTGACCTGGGGCCTGTACGAAGCAGAATTTAGTGGTTATCGGGTAAATTCGGGGGTTCCGGCCCTACGAAGCTCGTTCACTTGGTATAGGGGTAAATCACCATGGTAACTTATGCTGAACGGCTAGCCCGTTCTGGAGCAAGTTAAGTTAGAGATATGAGATCAACCAGTATAAAATCTCCAACAACTGGCCGATCAATTCCTTTTAAACATGTCATCACCGTTCTGAAAGAATCCCGTGGAGTTCTGTGTTAGAAGGTCTCTGATGAGGACAAGGGTCTTCAGAGACCGACAAAATCCTTTTGCTTCTCTGATGAGTATCTTTTTGAAAGATATAGATTTGCATCAGAAGGAATAATAAACCTTTGTCGGCTGCTGGAGCCGAACATAACCAACCTGACACGTAGGAGCAGTGTGCTCACACAACGTCTGCACTGATCTACATTTCTTTGCTTGTGGGAGTTACTCATATTGAAGTACTGGGTGTGTACCACTAACACACCCAGTACTTCTCAATCCCCCCACTTTCCAGATGTACCAGACGCATCCTTAAACCTAAATGCCAAATGCGGACAGTCACATGGTGCACAACAATAAGTCCATGTGTTAGTAATTGCAAACATTTCCACCACAGTGTCCTCAGAGTCAGTGTGTGTGTGTGTGCATGTGATAAAGTGAAACGTTTCATCTCTCATCCAAGTGGCTTCTTCACCTCAGTTCCACAGGTCTTGTTAGTAAAGAACAGATTCATATCTCGTGGCCGAAAGTTATTTATCTTGTTCCCAAACATTTTTATGTCGTGGCCACGCATTTCTTTTTCCTCCAAATGTCCCCAGGGGCTACGAAACACACTCACACAACCAGAAATGTTTTACCAGCTGTTCTTCCTGCATTTAGCAGCTGTAACTGTTTCTTTTAGTCTGAATGTGTTTGTACTATTCCCATGTCTGCGATTGGTCAGACGCAGTAAACACCGCCCATTTCATGTGCACGCACTCAGATCTTGTGAGGAAAGCCTGGGTCGACTTAACAATCTGAAACCAGCATTGTGTGCTTAGCACCAAATCATTTATTTGAAGACTAAGTTATCTGATTTGAAAATGAATCTACAGACGCAGCAATCTTTTCATTGTTAATATTCTTCTAAGCAGCTGTTTGTTGGTGTGAATAAAAATGTGAGCAGTTATCAGTTGACTGAATCTCAGCACCTTGTAATCGTTAATGTGCAGGAACTCGTCGATGATGGACTTGGACTTCCTCTCGATCTCCTCCTCAGACCGAGCAGGTTTGTCTATCGTCTGGACAACGGGCTCAGGTTTCACTGTCAATACAATAAACAACAGTCACAACAGTGAGTGAATGCGTCAGTATCATCGTCATGTCTGTCCAGTGTTTGGCAGCACCGTGCGTCTCACCGGGCTCTCGGACTCTGCTGCGCTCTGGCTCAGGTTTGTCCTCGGTGACACTCGGCCTCCGGGGCTCGGCTCCCTCTCGCTCCCTGTCTCTTCGCGGCTCCTCCGGGCTTTGACTCTCCAGCAGCTCCTTTGAACTGCTTCCCCTGATGAAAGGACCAGGGCGCGATGATGGCGGCGCGGAGATCAGTGGCTTCTCGCTGCGCTCTCTGCCTGTACTGCTACGACTGGTAGTGAATGAAAAAAAGAGAGTCAGGAAGGATGTCAGTGTAAATGAGGACCTCTGAGTGAGGAGATAAAAAACAACAAAAGGTATCAAGATTTGGAACTTAAAGTAAACTTGTTACAACAGAAAAACCTTAAATCAAATTATTATCACTGACCTAAACAGAAGCAAAACAAAACCCTAATTACAAAACTAATTTCCATCAAATAGAAACTAGTCAGAGTTTGAAGACATTCTCCTCATGTGGCAAAACAGAAACCAACAGAATCCTTCAATCAGAAAGTGATGTCATCTTATACCTTCCCAGAGTTCTCCTGGAGTCAAAGTCTGGGTTCTGTGTGGGGGTGGAGGAGGGTTGAGGTGAGGGGGTGGACTGCAGCGCTGAGAAACGGTTGATTCCCGCCGTACGTGACAGTTCTGTTACAGAGATAAAATGTTATGAGAGATGAGTGGGGGAAAAAAACGACCAGAAAATCAAGGGTAGTGATTGTGGATGATGCTGTTTTATATCAGGGTTTCATCAAGTTAAATGTAAGACCTTTTTAAGAATGTAATGAATTCAATTTTCATAAAATGTGATAGATATGAAATGTTATCAGACTCCCAGATTTCTAACAGGCTAAATATCTTAGATGAATCAGTGACAACTGAAGCTAAACAAAGCGGAGAAGTCTGCGAGTGTGACCTCACCTGAGTCACTGGCCTTGGCTCCTCCACTGCTGCCCTTCACCCATGTGACTTGAGCCCGTGGGCCCAACTGGATCTTCTCATCCATTTGAGGCTGCAGAAAGACAATCAATCATGATCACCCTTCAGATTTTCAGCAATAAAAAAACTACGGAGGGAAAACAGGTAACAATAGTAGGAAATATGAAAGCAAAAGTAAAAAGAATGAAACCTACAGGTAAACATTTCCACTCTTCTGAGTTCTCAAAATGTCCAGCAGAGGGAGAACTAAGCTTCTTTTCTAAGCACAGGTTGAATTCTGCAATGCCCAATGTTAATCAAGGACAAGTTTCAGCCACATTACTGCATCCATACCATACCTTTACTTTCTAAACATGAGGTGATCCAACAGCTTGGTGAATGAGTGTGCTCTCTGTTCTGCTGACACTGAAACATGTCAGAGTGCATCCAGCAGGTGGAGATGCAAAAAAGATATTTTCTTTCCATTCTGCAGTACCGCATAGATCCTTTGTACCACCTTATCCCCGCTGAACATGTACACTACAGTAATGTAGATCAGATGGGAGCAGGGAGTTCGTAAAAACAGCCCTGTTGTGATGATTCCAAGGATTAATCATGAACAGTTATGTGACCCGAGTTATCTAAGCCTAACCCTGTGTACGGTTTCTAGCCAGAGAACAGAAACCACCGACGAGGAAGTCTGTGACTAACATGGAAAAACATTCAATGAACATGACGAACTTGTCACAACATGAAGAACGACCTCACCACTTTATCTTAATTACAAAGCTGACGTTCAACCGAGTTTTCAAAACAGCCTGCAGATTCAGCACGGACCATCAGACACTGAAAAAGAGCCACACAACGTTTCACGTCGTCTGTGATCAGTTTATACGCAGAGGTCGTTGCTGACATCAGGAAAACTACTGTATTCAGCTTCTACTGCTTTGATTCATTTTTCTAAATTGAACTCATTAATTTAATGTAATCATTGAATCGATCGTCTCTGAGTTGAGGCGTGAAATCGTGGGCGTGAGGAGGCAGCATGAAGACATTTAGTGATGATCCTGAGGACATTGATCTTTAAGTAGCAAATAACATCATGATATTTTAGTTGGATTCAACTCAATCCAGCTCATCTTCTGATCGGTGCCACATTGTAACACAATTAGTTAATGATTTATTCATACGCAGACACAAATGCCTGTTATGAGTCTTTTATCAGTAATAACAATGTTCAGTATAAAATGTTTACAAATATCTGTATGAATCCTAAAATATAAAGTTTCTGATTGTACAGCAGCATCTTAAGGTCTGACTCTGCTTCATGATCCAGCTTTAATTTAAATTAACAACTTGATGATGCTTCTAACGCAAAAATAAAAAAACAAAAAGAGAACAATTATCTCCTGATGAAAAAGAGCTGTCATACACGGGGGTGACACTGACGAATGATGTACATGATCTCTGCAGCAGCGTTAACACGTCACTTCCTGCCTCTGTCTGCTGCAGCCTGCTGCTCCACCTCTCCTGAATAATGCGGAGGATTTGATGCTGTGTGGTGCATGTGCGGAAGGCAGACAGTGGGTCAAGTCTGTAGCCAATTCTCCAGATGTTGCCAGTTTCAAATGATATGACCATGTGCATGTGTCTCCTGTCTGCAAGTGTGTTCGTACACTCCTCACAGTAGAAGGTGTCGTGTCAGTCACTGACTTAAAAGCAGCTTCAGCGTCTGAAATGAAGAACTAAGGCTCTGTCAGCTTGTCTCACCTTGGAGATCTTTGGGATCTTGTTGGGGTCGATGGTTCTGCTGTTCTTCGTCATCGGCACAGTGTTCCAGGTCTCCTCTCTCTGGACGCGCTGATCTCTCTGCTCTCTCTGCTCTCTTGGATCTGTGAAGACACACCCACACAGAAAAAGGAAAAAATCAAACAGGGAAATAAAGGTTTAAAAAGAGTTCACGTGAAATGCAGCGGAGTCATTTCTGACTGTTTCTGTGGTGCGCTGCGCTCCAAGATGAAATATTATAGGTCAGTTAACAGATGGGAGGGAGTGGGGGGGGGGTCCTGTCTGTGGTTGGACACAATAGCATCTCTGCAGGCTATAGGGACAGGAAGTCTGCCTGTACACTCGCAGGCTTCCTGAGTCACTATAGCTGTGCCGATGTGATTCTAAGCCTTAAAGAGGATTTAGACTGCAGGCCTGACCTGGCCGTCTCTTGCTGTCCTTGGAGAGCAGTTGCTGGTGCACTTTTCTCTGCTCCTCCTGCTCTTCAATCTTAGCCTCCTTGTGGATCTGCTCGATGGTTTTTGGACCCTGGTCGGCTCTTCTAGACACCCAGTTGTGCTGAAGTAAAAAAAAAAAAAAATTAGTTTAGACTGATTTACATTAAAGAGGGTTTTTCCCTACTGTGTTTGTGATGGTTTATATAATATCAGATGTGCTCAAATATGGTGCAGATAAAAGAAAAATCACAAAGACCCACTCACCAATCTCAGGTCGATTACATCCTGTAACATGAACCGTATCCGAGACGACGTCTTCCTCTCTTTGACGATTTTTTCCATCTGGTTAAAATACTGATCCATTCGAGGCTGGTGAGACACAGACGGAGAGAGAGATTAATTTAATTTGAGACATGAAGGTCATGTTCAGCATGTCACTATCCATTCTACCAGACAGCAGGTTTCAGGGATTTCCACATTATTCCACAGAGTTGACCAATTGTCCAGTTTATTACTTGGAGCAGTCCTGACTGCCTGAGATGAAACCGGAACATTTAATCGACACGTCAGCAGAATGAAAACTGTAATAGCCAAAAATGAATGGATGCAATTCACTCTAACTGTTGAATATTAAAGTTTCCATGCTCAGGAAACAACCACATTAAACAGAATGAAACTCCTCTGAAGGACAAGTTGGATGATTTGTTAGCACTGAGATTTAATGTGAAGAAAGAAACACTTTCTGTGCATTAAATTCTGTGTTAGAAATGTAAATATATTAAAGTAGGAAACAAGAAGGCAAAAAAAGCAGCAGAATCAAGTGCCAAGTGCTATTTAAGTTTCCCTGGTCAGAATGTTTTCTGTTTGCGGGGTGACTGGTATATGATGAGGATCAAATCACACATCACAGTGCAGCAGAGAGAGAGAGAGAGCGTGGAAAGGCCATTGGATCATTCATGTCTCTTCACGTATCTAAGGACTCCAGCTGAGTCCAGCTGGGAGTCACTGAGTGAGACAGAGCAGAGCTGAGTGGGGACACTGTGGGGATATTCCCGTTTCCTCATAACCTACTTATAAGCAGCTGACGTGGGACTCAATCACACCAGAGCTTTTTTCTTTTATGTCTTGGAAACCTTGGCTCCTAAATCACTCATTTGACAAGTGCAGAATAATATATCTTAGTGGGACGTAAGCAGAGACATGAACTGATCTTTGGCTGCACCTCACCTCTTCATCCCTGCAAACAACACATATCTCTCAATCTTTTATTTTGAAATGGCCAACCGGCTGCACATTATTCTGTAGATTGTATTTGACACTTTCTATCTGTAGCCCCTGACAACATCTTGTTTTATCACACTCATTAAATGAGGTTAACTTTTACCGACAAACCAGGGATTCTTCACAGGTTCATGCACCTTCCTTTGCAGACTAAAACCTGTTGTGACATTAAATCAAAGTGACCTGACTTTCTCACTCATTAAAGGAACGGTTTCTATACTTGATTGACGCCACTCTCTTATCAGGTTTCTGCAGGTTAAGGTCTGCAATAATAAAGAAATTTAAGATTTATGTCATATTAACTACTACCAGCTCACCTTGGCCTTCTCAAAGTCAAGGTCCTTGCCGATGGTGGTGAGCAGTCTGCACAGACACTCTAAAGACTCTTGGTCGTGGTTCTTCAGCAGCTTGACCACGCAGTCATGCATGATGGCCTCCGTTAACATCTTGAGCTTGAAGAGTTCGCCGATGAACTTGATGTTGCCGATGGAACGCCGCCGGGCAATGTCCTTGGCTTCCTGCAGCTCTTCCTGAAGACGGTCACGCTCCGTCTGATGAGACCAAAGAAACAATTTCCATGAAATGTATTCACAACACCTTTTGAACAGAGTTGAAGCGGAAACTAGAAATGTTTCGGTAAAGATCCGGCTTCACACTTACCGACGCAGCAGAGTCCAGCTCCTTCTGCTTCCTCTCAAACACCACATCGTCCACCTTGTCTTTCTCAAACTCCTTCTGACAGCGGTTTAGCAGCAGCTTGCGAAAGTTCACTGTGTTGTTGGGTTTGTCTGTTGTGGGCACTTTGAGCTGTACATGAACAGTAAGTGTAATGACTTTAGTAGAGAACGTAAGTATAAAGACAACATGAGTAATGACTTAACCATTTAAGAGTCAGGGGATTAACAATAGATGAATGAATTAAGTGATCTTTGAATGCGCCACAGTTTATGAAAGAGCAATATTTAAGTACTCCTCCGAATCCAATTTTAAACTATTAACATCACAAACAAAGGAATCTCTTGTTCCAAAGTTGAAACACTCCTCTGCGCAACATAGTGACCTGCTTACCGTGGCGAGGCAGCGGCACATGTTCCCGTAGGCCACTGAGAAGCTGGGCTCGTCGATGGCTTTTTCAAACACCAGGTCAATGACTCCTTTGAGCCTCTCCTCCGTGTCGATGGTCAGGTCCGTCACCTGCTTCATCAGCTGGTTGAACTTCTGAGGCGTCAGCTTGTTCAGGATGCTACGGACCTTCCTGAACAGGTCCTGAGGGGAACAGGTGATAACAGCAACTTAAACTCTGAGGTCATCGATCAATCTCTCACTCCAGATGAAAAACAAATCCTGTTGTAAAGCTACTATTGTTGATAGAGACACCGTTTCTCAAGTCGGGAGAGGAAATTATGTCACGTCGTTTTATTCTGTGCAACAATCAAAAATGTATCAAGTAATACGGAAACTACATACTCACTATGCTTTTCCAATATTTACACATTCAAACACTATTTTTACTGGAATTTCCAATAATCTTCAATCAGGTGGACTTTATCATTAATGATCAAAATTAGTCTGTATATGTAATTTCTACATTTGCCCACTGCTTTGTGGATTTCTTCTCACAGTTTATTCTGTCGTACCTGTGTTCTCTGCGACTCTGGTTCCTCTGGGAGGCTTTCCCTCTTCATGCCTGGTTTCCAGGCATTCTCTGATTTCTTCAGCTGCACATCGTCGTGCACAGACAGGCTCATGATGATCTTCCTGGGCGGTGGTCGCCGCGCCCCAATGTTTATAAGCTTAAACAGGAAGAAAGGAAAAATTAATATTGACTATGACTCAACATCTTTCAGATTAGCTGAAATAATAGATTTTCAATTCCAGTTTAAGAGGCTCTATCCCAAGTTAAAAAGTTCTGCCTGCCAGTATCTGCTTCCATTTTTTGAGCCCAGCGAAGCTCTCGCCTTGTATTTAATGAAAAGTTGCCATATAAGTCTGATCAATGTTCTTGCCTGACTGTTGTAAAAATAATAAATAAGCCTATTTTCCAAAAACTATTTTTTCCAATCAACCTGATTTTGTCCAAGGCAAAAGCAAAAACATATTAAGATATCTCAAGAGTTTTCTGTGTTGAATTAACCATCAGAAGAAACTAAGATCCCCCAATGGTATCAGATCACTGACCTCTAACAGAATTTTATAAATTCGGAAAACTTCCTGTACTTAAAAGCAGCATGTTATCAATTTTGCGGGAGCGTTGAGTGAAACAGAAGCTAGAAAGTGGAGGAGTGTGTTTGTATGGTACTTACTGCAGCGCCCCGTCCTCCCATCATCTGTCTGCCAAAATCTGCAAAGGCAGGTGTGAAATCAGGTCCTCTGGAAATGACCCGAGAGTCCACGACTCGAGATGGCAACTTGTTTTGGTTCATCTGCAAAACACACAGAGACGCACACAATGAGGTGAACAGCAGGGGGAGCAGTGAACCCCCCAATAATGGCAGGCAAAAAAGAGTCTGGTGTGAGTGTGTGTGTGTGTGTGTGTGTGTGTGTGTGTGTGTGTGTGTGTGTGTTCTAACTCAGTGGACCCTCAAAGGTGACCCTTGCTGAATGACAGTCATATAGCACATTACCAGCTCTTGCTTTATGTATTTTTACTGTACTGGTCATAAATTAAACTGGTTTGGTTCAGCGAGCTGCTCAGGGAGAGAAGTCAGAACCAGATGTTTGAGAGAGGGAGGGAGGGAGGGAAGGAAGAAAGGAACGCGGGAGAGAGTGAGATAGTTGTGGGGGAGGAGGGAGAAGAACAAATCCAGCTCTTTGTCTTTCAGCCGTCTTTGACTTCCTCTAAACTCCTTCCCAGTGAGATTTCACCATCTCCTACAGAGAGTATGAGATGGTGGGATTGTACCAATCAAGTGTTCTCCAGTCTGGTTGTTCTTTTAAGAGAGGTGGGGGAGGGGCACGTAGTCTGAACACTGCCAAGTGTGACATAATGGCAATGTGATTTTAATCAAGACAGCGTTTTACTGGGCCATATGCTCCACCCATACATATGTGTGGATCACAGCAATGGACTCAACTCTCTGTGGTGCATCTTTGATCCAGTGCAAGTAAAGAGAGTAGAGCCCAACACAGCATACTGCTGCGAGCCAATAACGGAGAACAATGTTATACTCCACATTATAGGTGCAACTAACCATTACCATAATTATTTATTCATTTTATTTATCATTTAAAAGCCCAAGCACTCAGGTTTACTTCCTGAGAAACGACCACGACAGTTTATCAGGACTTACTGTGAGGTTTTCAAATTGTTCATCTATAAGTTCGAAACACAGTCAGTGAAATAAAACATATGATTATAAATAATCTCATTTTAGTGGATAGGTAAAGAATCTTGACATTTTTACTTCAGGACTAATCTACTCATTGTTACAGCTCCAAATAATAATCAAGCGATAATAATTTGGACCACAGTAGAGCTGAAACGACTCCCTGATCAATACGATCGTATTTAGAAACATTTTCATAAATTAATTAATTAATTTTGGTATTTTTTAATGCAAAAACTTTTGAACTGATAAAAAAAAAAAAAAAACGACTTAAAAACATCTGGCTCAGGGAGAACGAACTCTATTTCCAGTCATACAAACCAAAACAATTAATCATCAGATCAACTGATAATAAACAGAAGACATTTGCAGCACTTTACATCCTATCTTTAATCAAGAGCATGGTCTTTCAGCTTGTAATGATTTGACTCACACTCAAATAGCCGATGTTTGTGCTTAGATTTCCTGCACTCCAGCCTTGGCTCTTCTCCTTGTGCTCACACTGCTTCTGAGCATGCGACAAATGTCTCTTCTCAGATTTCACCTCTGTTCTTGTATTTTTTTCTTCAGCACTTAGATTTGTTTGTGCAACAAATATGTCAAAATTCCCCAACCGAGTGCCAGGTGTAGTGCTGACAAACGAAATTGTCAATGTCAAATCAATGTCCTGCTCTCAAACTGAAAGACCAAACTCATGAACAAAGCAGCGGGAAAAAAACATATTTAAAAGAGAGCCAGACAATTCACCCGACACATTTCAGTTTTAAAGCCACATTGAAGAAACTGTACGGACATTTCCATTCATTGATTTATTAACCGTCGGCTGTAATAGGTTTAATCACAGTACAATAATTTTGTCTAACAGGCTTTGAATCTGCAGCTCGCTCTGTAACATACCTTGTCTAGCACCACGTCACTGATTGGTGGGAGTCCCTCAGGCTTCTGTATGCAGGCAGGCTTGAACTGGAAGCGCAACAGGAAGTCCCTCCCATACTGACGCTTCCCACTGGGATCGGTCAGGTCTGGACAACCAAGGGAAAGAGTAAATGTAGTAGCATTACACACTGGCAAAAAGCAGAAATAGTGGGGAGAACTAAATTCAAGTTCTGCATATGGTCACTTCAAACTGTCCAGAGAATAAAGTCCATCTTTACCGTCTATATCCTGTGGCGCTCCTGTGGAGTTCTCCTTGTCCCCAGGGGTGGCTCCACTGTCGCTGCTCTCTGTCTCTGAGGTGTGGCCGGCTCCGTTCCTCATGGGCTCCAGCTCAGACTCACCGTTCTCTTCTGGGGCGGCGAGCTTTCTGTCAGCCTCTGGGCTCCTGGCAGGTGCCAGAGCAGGGGCGGCTGTGAAGACTGATGCAAGGGGCACAGGGCTGTGGCTCAATGGAGCTGCCTGCAGGGCCTGGTCTCCAGCAGGTTGATCCACTGACATTGGCTTGTCCTGTTAAGGAAGCAAGATTCGGTTTTCAGGTCCGTCTTTATTTGTCAGTAAACTTTTTTTAATCAATTCACAAGATAATAAATCCCCAACAGCTCAACGGCTGCTGTCATGTCGTACTCTGTCTTGAGGGGTATTTAAAGTGCAAAGACAATTATTTTACAGTAATATTTCATTCCCCACCTCTCTACAAAATATTTTTGCAATCAATTGTGTAGTTTTTGTGTAATCTTGCTAACTCACGAACAAACAAACAAACGCAGAAAAAAACCCATCTTGGCAGCTCAGCTCTAGGTGTAGACTAGACACCATGTGACAGCCTGTAAAACCTGCTATTTGTTGGTATGAAAATTGTCCCACAGCTACGATCCCAGAATCAAACAATAAGGGAAAGGAAATGAGGACAGGTCAGAGCTTGATTTTACAGACAGTGGGCCGGGCGAGGGTGAACATGATGGATAACTCCTTGATGTCGTTCTTGGAAGATAACAACACCCCAAAGTAATTTACGTCTGCTTCCCCAACCACACGTGGAAACATTTTTTCACTTGAACTATCGCCTACATCGTGTCTTTCCTCTTCTCTCTCAACCTCTGTCTCACTCCTTTGATTGTTGTTTTAAAATTACTTGAGATTTCAACCATTTGGGAAAAAATGGTGACAATATCTCATTAAAAAATTCCAAACATTTGTCTGTGTGTCGACAGACTTCTGAAAAGAATACACATATAATTGATGATACATACTTTGAAGCTCGTGTTTTCTTCCCCCCTTTTCATCAAGTCTTTTTTTTTTTTACCTCATCCTCCTTTTGAGGTTCGTCTCCAGCAGACATCCCTTCATTTGGTTTCCTCCAGGTCTTTGGTATCGCAGAAGCCGTCTGATTTACTGCAGGACAGCACAGAAGCAGGAACATGCAGTTAGTCAGTAAACAGCAGAACCACAATGAATTTAAAAGTGAAATTTGTGTCCAAAAGGCAGTGATGACAGGAAAACCTGTCTGTATAATGAAACCTTACAACCGGTTCTACACTTAAAACAGATATAAAATTCTTTATGGTTACGTTGTTATGTCTTCACTGCCTTGATGATTTAAAACTCATTCATCTCAAAGTAAAACAAACAGCTACGAGCACATAGCATTTAACAAGGCAGAACAAGAGGGATAAATGGAAAAGGATAAGTTTCCCATTGAGTTATTATTGTTAAGGTTTCCAGGAAGACACACAGCTGTTATTACAGACACAGATCACACTCATTTAAAATCCATTGGTATCTTACAAGAAATAAGCTCTTCAAATTCCTTACTTATGGCCCTTTAAGTATTTGCTTATTATCATTTATAGCAGAAACAGGAACATGAAATAATAAAGCCCATAAAAAATGATTTTAAAGGCGTGTGATGTTGCTTTCACATTCTGTAGGGACGCCAATTATGCTATAAACATTCAGTTCTACCTGTCAGTTTTTTCTCTACAGCTGAATCAGAGCTACCCAACTTCCTACAGTCAAACAAATGCAAACAAACCATTTGTTCTGAACATAGCATATGTTTGTTTCTGGCAAATACAAATAAGAAAGTAGCAGACTTAGAGAATTGTCTCTCATGTCGACTGCCCTGTCACCAAAAGAATCACAAAGAGCAGAATAAATGTAGTAATAAATTAGTAACTGAGTCCTGTGTGAATTTTAGAGCTCCTGAAATGCAGCAGATGATATTACCTGTTGTGGGACTATTCCTGATGAGTGCTTGATGCTGGGACTCTGTCTTGCTGTCAGCAATGCCACCATGGACCTCGGTCCCTGCTCTGGGTACAAGATCTTTAGTGTCTATGGATTTGCTCGGCTCCTCGGCCTCTGTTGTGGCCTGCACCAGAGGCGGAAGGCCAGGGGGGAGCATGATGGGCAAAGCTGGGGCAGGGCTTGAGCTCAGGGTAACTGGCACCACAGCCACAGGAGCCATAGGGGCAAGCGCAGCAACAATGGGAACCTCTGGCCTCATGTCAGAAGGCAAAGTTTCAGAGGAGGCTTCTCTGTAAGCAGGACTAGAGGCCTGGGGCTGGAGTGCAGCAGGGGGCATAAGAGAAGGCTCATGGGCCACCGTCTCCAGCTCAGTCCCGGGCTCTGCAAGGCCGTTCAAAGCCTTGGGGGCTGCTACAGACAAGGTAGCCAGAGTTCTTGGGGCGTCTAAGAGAGGCTTGTCTGTGTTGGGAGGCTGAGATGGCGCCACGGAGGGTTTCTGCTCCCCAACTGAAGACAAGTGAGAAGAGGCTGACTCCCTGACTGAGGGACGTTCACTTGAGTTGGCCGCTGTAAGTGGGAGATTGACAGGGGCGCTGAGCGAGGCGGGGAAGGGAAGCTCTGGTTCACTTGCAGGAGGTGTGGGCTCAGTTACAGGTGTGTTGGCCTCCAGTCTCTCCACTGGGGCTTCAGGCTGCACAAGCCCAGGTGAGGAAGACTTCTGGACAACTGGCTGCAGTTTTGGCGCATCTTCTGGAAGGAGGAAGAGTACAGATGAATACATGTCTTCAGAATTCAATTAGCAAAATGTAATATTTATCTCACAAACTATACTTAACAGCTCGTCACATATAAGTAATGTAATACAAAATATAAATCTGGTTAAAAAAAGAGACATTTTGTGACAGTGATCTTCAAGATCAACAAGCCAGAAAAAAATGTACGTCATTTTTGAGGAAATTGCAAGTTTAAAACCGCAGCCTGAAGACAGAATGATTTCCAAAGCACAATGTACTAAAAGGTTCAGGCTAAGTTCAGGAAGCACTGCTGACATCAGACTTTACACACTGTCAGTGAAACGAAAGTGAAAGTGTGAAGCAAATTCTGGGAAAAACAAAACTGATATAATGTGTTTCGGGTAAATTTCTTTTCAGCAAAAGATGATTTGTGGAGACTACAGGGCTCAATGCTCCAAAGATGACATTGCCTGGAATTAGAGGCAATGACACAGCAGTAAAATAATATTCTTATTCTTGAGGGTCTAACGTTACATTTTTACAAGTGGGTCATTTCATGTCAAATCATCATATTTTAGGCCCACACAGTCACAGATCTTATAGAAATGTAACAGATCTTAATTGAGATATGGGCTGAGCAAGTTAACTCTGGCTGGTCATATCTCCTTTAATATAGGTCACAGAGAAATGGTTCTCAAATCATTTTAAAGCTCTGGGGATAAAACCGCGTTGGTTAGATTGTTAAGAGTGGCACCCTTTCTTGTTCCAATCTGTGGAAATAGAATTTTTTTTAAATGGTGAGTGTGTTGTTGCAGACCTGGCCCTGGTTTGGTGTCAGAGGCCCCTGCTGTCAACGGCTGCTGCTGTGGCTGTTGTGGTTGCTGGGGCTGCTGGGGTTGCTGGGGCTGCTGGGGTTGCTGTGGCTGTTGGGGTTGCTGTGGCTGTTGGGGTTGCTGGGGTTGCTGGGGTTGCTGGGGCTGTTGGGGTTGCTGGAGCTGCTGTGGGGGCTGCTGTGGGGGCTGCTGTGGGGGTTGCTGTGGGGGTTGCTGTGGCTGCTGGGACTCCAAGGTGTAGCCTCCAGGGGGGGCCTGCTGTGGTTGAGGAGTCTGAGGCTGCTGCTGCTCTGGAGTCTGGCTGCTGTTCAGCTGCTGCTGCGATTTGAGGTAGAAAATGTGAGGATAATGAGGGTGCGGCCATAAAAACTAGCAACACAGAAAACCAGAAAGACGGGCACAGAGATGAAGGCAGTGCGCATACAAACAGATAAACAGACAAGCAAACCCAAATGCAGAATTAAGCAGACAGTCCAATGGGGGTATGGTCAAGAAAAAGACAGGGGGAGCAAGAGAGAATGAAGACCAATGTAGGAAGAATGACAAGAGGGGGAATGGCTCAGAACAATGCAGAGGAAAAGGGGTTGATTCAAAAAGAAAAAATCAAAAGGGGCACAAAAAGACAGAACAAGAGAGGAGAGACACTGTTAACATCTACAGAAGGACAAAGGGAGAAAGAAGTCACAATGTCCCTCTTCAGAATCCAGGAAGGTTGTCTCTCGTGGGTTCATTGAATTTCTTACATTTTTTTGCGGTTGTCGTTTGTACAGTGGTTTTCAGCATAAACACCTTGTTTCCCTGAGACTGTAAAACCAGTGTTCAAAGATCTAGGTTAAAAACACTCCTCTCTACCCATTTACTAGAAGGCCAAAAGACAAAGATTAATTATTTGGTTTAAAGCTGAAATGTGGAACTTTTATAAATAAATGAATGTTTGTTACATTCAAACCCTGGAATCTATCAATTCTGTAGTTTCTTTGTTTACCAGAGTTTTTAAATATGGTGTTGTGATGTGTTTTATATCAACCAGCAATGATTGATTTGCTGGGAAAAACACATGGACAGAAATGGAGTAGAAAACAGCAACTAGAAATATGGATGAGCTGATGGCAAAGAGCCTAGAGGGGTTTCTGTTCCTCCAGATAGAAAAATAAAGAAACTTGGCAGCCGTCAAAGAAAGAAATCAATTGGTGGCAAGGAGACATACGAAGCATATGTCAACAGCACATGTTGACAGTGTGTAATTACTCTCACTGCCAGGGGGAGACAAAAGATCTACACCGCAGGTTTAAAGAAGAGAACTGAATGGGAATGGCAGACCTGAGTGGATTCTGTAGAAGGAGCATACACACAGTACATAGGTAATCTACTGTAAGAGACAGTGAGTGATAAGAAACAGTGACAGGAAGGAAGAAGGTATCAAATGACAGACATTATATTGAATTTACTATACAACTATGAAAAAGAAGTGTTTTTTTTCACAAGCCATGACCTCCACCTATAAATATATAGTGTGTAATTACTCTATTTGTTATTTTGCAAATCAGTAAGTCTTTGATTGGGTAATGTAAACATGTGCTGAGCCACAGCCGATAGGCATGTAACAGTTTGGACTCAAAGTCATCGTGAAATTCTTAAGAGAAAGCAAGATGTGTAAATGACACAGACGCTGTGCCCTGTCTGTCACCCACATGGTGGAGAGCAAAAGGGATTAGAGCGGAGAGCTCACACTGCTACCAGGCAACACGAGACATCTCTCCACCCCTCAGCTAAAGATCCTGGCTAATGAGCTGCTGCTAACTCTACATACCTCCACTGTAACTACTGCAGGTGAGAGATGGGTGAGCGTGAGTGTGTGAGAGAGTGAGAGCCTCACCTGTGGTGGGGTGGGGGTAGAGGAGGGGGGGCCTACAGGAGGTGTTGAATTCCTGCTCCCTGAACCTCCTGCCATGATCTCCTCTGTGATGTCCCTGCCACCCTGATTGGGGTCCCGGATACGGATCTGGGAGGACAATGACACAAAAAACAAACCTCACTAAAGCACCCACGTCTTTGAAAGACTCGTACTCTGCCACATGTGTGTGAGCCGTCAGCTGTGTTACACACTGTTACAAAATGATACTGAGGCATGATTTCAGATCCATGCAACATGGATACATATTTTCATGTTCGTAAAATATCCATTAATTCTTTCTATAGATCTAGTAGAGCCCAACAAATATAGATTTTGGGGGGGGGCTACGCCAACACCACCATTAAGGAGTAAAAAAAAAATTCCAGTGCAGTTATATCGACCGATACATAAATTTTTCTAACTCTCACGGCAAAGAGATGTAATTATGGCTTGACATTTTACAGTTTAACCACAAACTATTTAACAAATTATTAACTATGAATTAAAATAAAATAAAAACATTCCATAAAATATAAACATGGATGATCTTTTCAACATTTTTCATTTGGTAAAATAAAACTTTTCATATTCATGTTGATGTCACCGATACTGATACGTCTATGAAAGGCTCTTATCAGCCGTCATTATAAGCAAAACAATAAATTATTCCATGGCTTTGGGTTAGAAATGTAGTTTGTGGATTCTATTCATTAGATATATTGTAGCAATTAAATCTTAAAGTCGACCTAAACTGAAACTACATTTATTTGACTTAAACACTGAACTCAACTGAAGTGAACCAGTAAACTCAACTGAACCACTGAACTCAACTGACCTCCGTTTCTATCTATTCAACTCGACCCGAATCGAGTCAACAACTGACCTCAGCTGAACTGAGCTCAGGGATTCAGCGATGTAGTTCCAGGAGCGGCCAAGAGGAACTCCTAAGATACTCACTGTTTTCTTCTCACGCTTGGCTGGTGGAGGTTGCTGTGGTGTAGGCACTATGATGGGGGGTGATGGGGGGTACACAGTCTGTCCTGGGTAGTAAGGTGGGCCAGCTGTGGGAACGGGAGCAGGGACAGAGGGCGAGACAGGTGGGTGGTACCTGAGGGGATCTGGATGAGTTTTGGGAGAAAAGAAAAAACAGAAAAGAGATTTTAGTAAAACGCAGACAGGCTCCCTGCTCTGTGGGCACACATGGCTGCTAGGTAGTGTGTATTTGTGCTACTGTGTGGTGAACTACTTTAAATGTGGGATGTGGGAATAGTGCTGGATGTGTAATCTGTGTTGGATTAATGACTCACGATATGGGGCAGGGTACTCCCCTGGCCCAGGACCAGTATAGAAGGTGCCAGACCCTGGGGGCTGAACAGAATACTGCTGAGGAGGTCCCACGTAGGGCGTATTGTGGCGATACTGCAGGTAAAGAGGACAAGGAGAAACATATTAACAAAACACATCATTAGCGAGGACAAGACAAATACTGTACAATGTCCTTTTCAAAAATGTAGCACGTATATTATTTTTTAACATTCCAATCTTATTTTAGGGATTTTATTTTAGCACATTTCCCAAACATTCAACTTTTAACAAGGATATTTACATAAAATGATATGAATTTCAGAGTCCCTAAACATTTTCAATTTCAAAATTCCATACTTTCCAGACCCATGTTCGTTCTGACCATAAATGCCATTACACTGCATTTACACCCATTCACATGTTGTTGTGTTGCAGCTCAAATCCTTGAAATACAACTGATCAGTCCACACTCAATAGCTCATAATGCAACATGAAACTGAAAAAAACCCTCATTCAGAAGGAGAATAGGGAATGCCTTGTTTCCACTGCAGTGCATTGTGCATCGTGTGCAACCACTGCATTTTCCTACCCCGCAAGAGGAAGAGTCTGCTATGACATCTGAATATGCTGGAGAGTGAGAAAAAAAAATCCTGCAGGAGTATATTTGTTAAGCTGTTAAATGTAGAAACAGCTCGAGACTGACAACACAAACGACAACTCTCTCCGCTCAAGCTCTATAAACTGAGTTCAGCCTGAGGATTTTCTTATTCTAAGGAGACATAGACTAAAGTGTGTGTTTCTGTTTGAGCCAGCCTACTAATGTGAGCTGCTCTTTTCTAAACGGACTTAGCTCCACTCAAGAAACTCACACAAACCTGGAAAACAAGCTGCAAGTAGCGTCACCATCACTATCACCTGACATCAGAGGAAGCAGTGCCAGCCATTACATTAGAAAGGCTAGCGCGATACATGTGATCAATAATTTAGCATGGCCCTTTAAGGAGGTTATAAATATTGAAATGGCCCTTGATAGGAAAAAAGGTTCCCCACCCCTGAATGAGAGCAAACAACGCAACTGTCCCCAGGTCAGTGTGTTTGTTTTACCTGTGGGATGTAGTACTGTGCAGCCTGCGGGGAAGGGAAAGGCATGGGCGCCATGGTCATCATGATTGGTTGATTAGTGGGGTAGACAGCTGTAGGAGTCTGTGAGCCAGGCCGTATGGAGGGTGTGTTTGTCGGGATGGTGGGCCTCGCAGTCTGCATCTGAGTCCTCTGGAAAAACTGAAGGTAAGACGGGAGAGAAACACACAGAGATAACAGAAGACATTAAGTACGATTCATTTCTGCAGGCTGCCATGCTTTATCTAAAATAGAAACAAGTTCAGTTTTTCTGACGTCTTCACCATTTGGCCAACACATCTCTCACAGTGAGGCAACGCTGGTGTTTAATCAGCAGCAAAAAAAACAACCAAACAAAACAAAACAAAAAAAGGACCAGCCCCACAGATTTCTCTGAACTCTCCTCATTGCTGCAGACCATGAGATTTCAACCACTGAGGGGTAAACTGCTTCATGATTTTCATGCAGAGATGCAGCCCGTTAAACTAACTTTATGCTTCAATAAACAACTCATAATTTACCTGAATTACTTAATTAAACCTCACTGAAATGTAGACGTAATATTCAAATGAAGAAAATCATGAATCAGATGTATACCATCTACAAAGTAGGGAGCACAACCCTGTTCGGATACTTTTTGCTTTTGAATTTTGGCGATTTGTATTTCAGCATTTATTCAGAGAAACCCATATGATTTTCTGATAAGCAACAAATGCTTTACCAGACTCCACAGCAGTTATAAAATATAAGCTCCCGCTGAACGGCTGCAAATACCTCTTTCTGTGCCCGACCTGCTCAGCCAACCTTTCAGTTGTACTAAAAGTGTGACACGTGACACAGCTGTGTTCATCAAGCAGCAATATGGCCTTTTCTTGTGGATCACAGAGCACTGACGATGTAGAAAATAAAACTGTAGCTGCTGTAGAGACTTCAGCTACAATGGCTTCTAGAACATGTTTCAATCAGTTGAGAGTTTAATGTTTAATTAAGTTTAATGACGAGCTTTGTGTTTGTTGGACAGTGCATAAAATTTAATGCAGGAATCTTTGAGTGCCAGTCAGAAAGAAGAGCACAATGAACAGCTATGTTCCAAACAACTAGGGCCCAGGTTGGGAACACCCGCCTGCAGTGAGCGTGCTCCGGTGAAGGAGAGCACAATAAACAATGCTGTAAAGCAATCTAAAAATACCCAGGAGGGAAATCACCTTCAACTTAATAAATCAGGTTCAATGGCTTACTTTACTGTAAATAGAGCAAGTCCGGGACATAACCGGGAAACAGTTCATTACCAGCTACACTAAGACGGCCTCTGTAAAGTCACTGGTACGATAAGAAATGTGAGTCAACAGACAAGTTCTCAGCGCAAATGTCTGAGTCAGTTGCTACAGTGAGAATACAACAGGAAAATGTGCAGAAAAATTACAGGGAGCAAGTGGGTGTGTGTCGATGGCGTTTCTAACATGCAACGGACGCAAAAGTGAGGAAAAGATGAGAAAGAGATGCAACAGACGTGGAAGACGCCAACAAAGTCAATATGCTTTTTACAAAAAACATGCGATTTCCGCAGCAGATTTTTTAACATCATCCCTCCAACATGCTCTACTCAGGCGCTGCCCCTCATCTGAATGTTTAAGAGATTTTCCTGCTGATCTGAAAGTGTGTGATCCAGGCAAACCTCCTGCTGCGTTCTTCATGTGTGTAAGGAAATCTTCGGAATGAGCTTCTATTAAATAACATTGTAGATATTTCCAAGAAGTAGTACACATTTCATCACTCGGACATAGAAAGGAACTGAACACTTATTTAAAGGAGTAATATACTGCAAAACACTCTTTCATCCCACATGCTGTTCATTAAATTGTGCAAGCTCATTAAAGATGAATCATGAAATGCAGCAAAGATTACAAAATTATGAACTGAGAAGTTTAGTAATGATCCGCTACAGGATTAAGGACAGGACATGTAGAGATAATGATGATAAAAAAAGGAAGGTCCTCGCATCTGAGCATTCACTGTAGTGAGAATGAAGGGGGATGTACAGGGTTAGAAGTTAGTAGGGATGGGATCATTTAAGGACGATCCTCATCATGCCATGCAGGTCTCAAGAGACTTTTAAACAGAGTTAATTGTTACCTGGATGGGCCTGAATCCTCCCTTGAGTATTGAAAGCAGGAAAGAGAGAAAAAGCCAATGGGAGACTGCACTGGTGAGACTGAAGCCTCAGTACAAAGAACAAGCATCATTCACCCACACACGAAGGCAGGAATCTATTCAACGTAATTTTTCATCCACTTAACACAGTGACTGGTCCGGAGCATAAAAGACCAACTCATACCATGTAAAAGAAAATCTGAATCAGTGCTGGTAAATTGGAAGAATGGGAAAACATCTGAAAACTCAAAAATGTCAAATAATTTGTGTCACCCTCGCGCAACAGACACATACATACAGTATGTGCACACAAGCCTCTCTCACCACATTTTACTTAGTGTTTCTTCTCTCTCATTGTGCAGCCTGAGCCTACGCGCCAGTCGGCCTCTCGTTTTGCCAAAATGCAGTTTTCAGTTCCCGGTGGGACTTGGTTGTCACCTGCAGAGCTGACTTAGCAACAGATATGATGTTGAGGGCCGCGAGCAAAGTGTGATTGGATTCACAGACATCTTTCTATATTACGGAGCTGATAGGTGTCACCTCACTACCCTGGAAGTCTGGTACAATATTTATGATAAAGAACAACAGAGTTTAAACCTTTTGTTGCCCTTTGATTTTGCTGTATAGCAGAAGAACACATAACCGCTGCCAAACTAGTGATGCAATAATTCCTGTCTCTTAAAAAATATAACTGTATAAAAAGATGGGCGGCATGACAGCTCCCTGAAAGAGAAGCCAAAGTGTCCCGATGTTTCCTTGGCTGGTTGCAGCTTAAGGTCATAAACCTGCCTCCTGCATGTTAGTGGATAGGAGGAATTTTTCATTGGCGATAATTTTTCCCAAAATTGTTGTCTTAAGTTTTTAAATATGCTGTAAAAATGGCCTGAGACATCATGATATGCAGCTGAGACTGACTCACAATTGATCGAGCACCTGTTTCAACCTTGCTACAGCCGCTCCCACACCACGATCACTAATTCACAGACTCTGACTCAAGTGCAAGATGGTATCACTTGTATCTGGGATAACGAGATGAACTGGAGACACGTCTATCACAGTCTATGGTTTTGACGTCGCATGACATTTCCACTTTTCAAGGCCAACAAATTCACGGATCAAATTCAGATTAATGGAGTAATTTACACTGTGAAGCGCTTTTGTTTTTATGTTTTATTTTCACTGACTTTGACCTTTTGCTTCACAAACACAAAAACACTGTCATACTCCAGAGCTGCGTCTGATATCTAAATAGGTCAGTTACACCCTTAAGTGGGGGATGAGAGGAAATAAAGATGATTCTTGTTTGAAGACAGACTTTTGGCCAAATTAATTAATTTTCTGATCCCTCTGCACCCTTTCACTGTGCATCAAGTGTGTTTCAGTGGGACAATGGCTGTTTTCTCCATTGGTATAAAAGGCCACTGTTCAGCTACATCTGCTTTCCAACTCCACTTCCGTGGTGGCACAAGGGATCCCAGCGCCAGTTTGTGACAGCCAGGGCATGCACAGTGTGTGTGTATTACACCAATGGCAGTAAACACATCCGACACATTTTGACACCATACTATTAATAGTCTGTTAAGATTTGCCCACACAGAAGCATCCATAAGGTGAGGATGTTAGTTAACAACTTAGTCAGGACACATCTTTGTGGTGTGAACAACACATCAGTCTTTGGAGGGGGCAATTGTATTAATCATTACAACATGAATCAACTAACAACAATAACAGGAAGTCACATGCACTGAATGTCAGCACCTTGAAATGTCCAAGACTCTTAGCGTCCAGGAGATAATTCACAAACATCATAAATACTGCACCACCGGAATTGAACACATTAACATGGCCCTCGTTATCTAATGACCTTTGGTTCACAAAGTGTCAACTGTCTAACAGGATCCATCACAGTGTCATTTACACAAATGTTAGTCATAAACCCAAACACTGGGGCCACACAGTTGTCCCAGCCCTTTTCCTTGTTGACAGTGAACCTGATGACCACTGGCTATCCCTCATAACTTCGTCTTCTTACACTGGGAAAGGTACGGTTAAACGCACAAAGGGGCGGATCCAGGGATCACTTCCTGTTGAGATTGTGAGAAAGGACTTCTTTTTTTTCTTTTTTTTACTTTTTCACCAATAACTAGGAAATAATTCATGGATCAGGCATTTTAAGCAGAGTGTGTGAAATTTTGTTCCACAAAACAATTAAACAGCCAAATTGATTACAGCGCATTAATGTAATTATTGGAAACCATGAGCCATGGTGTCATGATGGTGTTGTCACTGCAAAAAATTAGAAAGTTATAGCAATGCATGCACAAAAATAACAAATGTCCCCTTTTTGATTTTCAGGCTTTAACTGATTCATCAAAAATACCAGTGCTGATGGGAGATAACGTCTCTTCTATGTTTAAATGAAACTAAAAATAAATGGGAAAACAAACTTTGTTTGGCGAGGAGCACAAGAACTGATATTTAGTCCCAATTTTCTGCTGCACATAAGGGCCCTTCATTGTGTAAAGCACAACTGGCACTAGTCAGGCTTTATTATATGACCAGTCAGCTAATATTAGGCCAGGGAGTGTGTTGAATGGTGTCGAGATGCGACAGCAAGTCAGCTCCCAGACTCCGAAAATAAAATACAATGGGCTCACAAGGCTGTTCCATTCAAACACACTCTATTTGAATTCAAATAATGCAGGGAAATAAATTCAAATTTTTGTGGTTTACAAATGCAGACTAATGAGGTTCCTTTACACAAGCAGAGAACATACAACTGTGTGTGTGTGTGTGTGTGTGTGTGTGTGTGTGTGTGTGTGTGTGTGTGTGTGTGTGTGTGTGNGTGTGTGTGTGTGTGTGTGTGTGTGTGTGTGTGTGTGTGTGTGTGGTAAATCCAATCAAGGACAAGGTTTGATCATGTGAAACTGACTTATAAACACTCTAATCTGTAAGGGAGGCTGAGAGACTCTGCAGTTATTTGTTCCACTTGGCACTCGGGCCCAGGACACACACAAGCCTCATTACAATTAAACCTGTAAAGACTATGTAATACCAATTCACTTTTATTTGGGATTTACCAATTTCAATCTCATCATAGTCTCTCACAGCCGGAGCCATCGCCACAGTGCTGTGTCAGCACTGGAGAAAGGTCTGGCTGCACTCATTATCATTCTGCTATGAGGGAATAGAACAAACTGCCTTGTTTGGATTATGTTTGTAAACCAAGTCATCGTGGGTGGTGCAAACGCCAGGATGCAGAATCAAAAATAATGTTGGGGAAACTTATTAAAAAGGCTTATTGCCCACGAAAACACAGCGAAATAATTATCAACTGTGAGACTTTACGATCCAAATCTCCAAAGGAATTATTTTCAGCGTACAGGTTGCTAGTTATGAGGTAGAAGAAGGGGTTTTGAGAACAGTAACAGGCCTGAAGCAGAGGGGTAACAGTATTCTGTATGAGACGCACTGCCAATGCCAAGCTTATACCCACAGTCTACATCTGGTGAGTCAGACAAATGTCACCATAAAAATAAACCTGAAAAAAAGCAAAGTCACACCCATCAAGAAACTGTTCTGTGCACCTGGCTGGGTCTCTTGATTATGTAGCAGCACACTCAGGAAAAACCACATGACTATTAAAACATGTTAAACTGTGTCCATGATATTTGTAAGCTTTCAAATCTGACTTTATGACCATGGAGGAGCCTTTTTTGCATGCAGGCACCAGCAAACTGATATGATAATGATGATGATGGTGCAAGAAGGGGAGCAGGAGGGGACGTACAGTGGGGTATATTACCTGATGGTGGGTCGGTCGAGGGCCCGTAGCAAACTGGTGGGGGAGTGAGGAGAGGTCCAGCAAGGAGAGAGAAGCAGTGATGGCAAAGCAGGGCGAGGAGGAGAAAGAGCACAAGAGAGACACAGAGATAAAATGAGTGATGGAGGCCGATGCTTGAAAATACGGAACAAAATCACAGAGCAACAAAGGTTTAAAAGACAAGTGGCACATGATGCACAGACCAAAGTTAAAGTGTGTGTTTGCAAATAGTAGCTCGTAGATTTAAGCGGCAGAGAAACTAGATTTACAATAAAATGAACAGCTGGGCAATAAAACAATATCAATAATTATCGTATTATAATGCAAAAAAACAAGTCAAATTTATACTGATGTGATGCTTATTATTGTGCAAGCACAGAGAGGAGGTATAAAACACAATTGATCTACCTTAGCTTTATAAAGTGGTTGTGATTCTCTGTCCACAAAGAAAGTTTATAAAGTTTAAAACCACAACCTTCAGCAAAAATCTGTCTTCAAACCTATCAGAAAAAATAATGTCAGACTTATCGTGACAATTATTTTTCAAAAATCTTGTTGGAAGTTTTGTCACCTTGGACAATGTTTATAATTCCAAATTGTCAATAGGACTTCAAGAATTTCCAATATCCTAAGTGACAAACATAACCAGTTTAAAACAAGACCTCCAGCATGAGTGGACACAGTCTGACTAAGGTCTGGTTAGTCTTGCTCTCCTGATGAGCAGGAACCATCAATTAAATTCAAATTCATAAATAATGTTAACGTAAGTGTACTTAGAATGTTATGAATATATTTGGATTCTACTTTCTCTAAAGGTCTTAATATGTTACCCATCTCAATATAGACTACACTGATCAAATGAGATTGACATTACACTAAAATTTCTCACAGTAAATATCCACAGCCAGCCATGATTTCACAGCTTGTAGAAAAAGAAAATATTGTTTCATACAAAATACAATTCCACGGGTCTAATAATGAATTTCAACTTAAGTGATATACTGCCATCACCCACAAACAGCAAAGCAGGAAACTTCATCAAATACACACTGAGCTAAATTGAAAGCTCTGGGTAGCTTCTAAACACAAAAACCCTCCTTCACAGAATCAAACCACCAACGTTCAATAACGGTAATAGTAAATCACAAACTGTTTAGTTGCTCTGAGGTAGGTGAGCTATAAATGAAACAGCAGAGGGACACTCACCGGGCGACTCTGTGGCTGTGCATTTATTGGCTGTGCCTGGGGAGAGTACACTAGAGGGGCGGAGCCAGCATTTTGTCCGGGGTTGTATGGAGACTGTCAAGAGAAGAGAGGGCGAGATGGACAGAGGGAGAGGGCTTGTTAAACACAAGTCAGGAGCTGCGCTGCAATCTGTCACTTGTCATTTCTTCTATACATTTTACACTTTATGCACATTTTCAGGTTCATAATATTCAACTGTAGGACACTGTAAAACAGCCATTCTTGGTGTTCTTATAGAAGAAATGACCCATGACAAGCGGTTAAATATGTTTAAACACATCTGATGAAGGAGAAAACGTTTTTGGTGTTGGGGTTTATGCACCACGATTAGATAAATTGTAGCCTGAAGGACTGCAAATCCCGTGTCCCTTTATCTCGTGAGCAGTGGTGCCAGGCTGAGGTGGGTTTAAACAGATATTCTGACCCTTCTTCGAGCTGCTGCTGCTGCTGCTGCTGCTGCTGGTGGTACAGTTGTGATCATTTCAGTTTGTGCTGGCTGACAGGACTATTTATAGAGGGCTGGTGAGAGACTAGAGCTGCTTTAGGATGAGGCAGTGGGCCATTAGGCTGTATCGGTAAAGAGGAACATCTGGGTTCCTTGTGAGCGTAGTCTCATACTTCCAGAGAAGCTGAGTCATGGTGTCAACATGCCTGTTGAGGACAGCACGGATGCAGCAATAATCTTTATGATTAATACTTAAACTGAGGAGTCCATGTCAGGCTGATTTAGGGGTTTTTCCTCAACTAAATGGAGGATGTAAAAGCCGTCTTACAAAAGCATGAATATTCCCATAATGGTTAGCCTCGATATCCCAGCTGGTCCTCTGAATTTTGTTATTTCCCCATCCAGTCTGCATCACATGTATAGATGCCATTGTTGTTACAAACAGAGAAGAAAATGTTTTATACTAACCAAACCCCTACTATCTCAAATCCGCATAAATCAATAAATCTTGTTTAAATTCTTCTGCCCTTAACCCTGAGGGGATCCAGGATTTCACACCCACAACTCCTGTATTTACTTTCTTTTATTAAAGAGCTTCTTTACAAAGAGTTCAGGTCCAACCATGAAGTGGCGATGCTTGAAAATGTTGAGTTAATAATGTTGACACTTGTGTATCAAACCTCTTTCCTTTTGCAGCCTTACAGTGTGTTTTAACAGACCAATGTGATCTGAATTGAGGTTGAGCAAATTATCCAACACCATGAGCTCACTGTGAAATAGCTGTCGTACAGAATAGAATACAGTAGATGTATTTTGATACAGCAGTAATCAGAAAATGTTCTACAATTTGACATGTAATCTGAATTTGATAAAAAAAACAGTCATGCACACGGATTATTGCTGTTTAGAAATAAATATAATTAACATAAAATGTTGATGTGATAAAAGACAAACAATACAGGTTAGGGGTAGGCGATGTTGGTGGCAATAACATAATGTGTAAAATTATTTTTTAAGTGTTTCAAGTCATTATTTAAAATTTAAGCAAGTGTCCAAATTCTTACACTGTCAAGTTTTGGTTAAATTCAATGTAAATTGCAAACATTGTATGATGCAAGTCTATTAGGTAACAATAAGTTATAATGAACTGTCGCCCAGCCATAACACAGGTGAAAAAAATAAAAAAACAAACAAAGGAGACAAATAGAGGATGAATATGCAGAGAGGATGGCGGCGGACACAGTGATAAACTCACCCCTCCGCCTGTCTCCCAGCCCTTAGGGTAGCGATATGGGGAAGCTGTGGGTATTGATACCTGAGAGAGCGCCGGGGAGTGGGCATGACCGGGCGGGGTGCCCGCCAAATTAGGGTGTCCCTTTGTGATGTCGTGAGCAGTGTAAGGAGGGCCAGCATGCCTGGGTACCTGCATCACATACACAGTAGAATTATACATGTGACTTAGTCAGACTGATGAACAGACAATGATGTAAAAGGAAGAACAGCAATGGCAGGAGTCCGCAGATCATTAGTCCTGCCTCCTGCCGAGGAATGTAAAATAAGCACTCAAGCTCCAGGATTAGCCCCTGTATGTGTGCCGAGGTAAGGACTTGGATCTGTGGGTGTTGAAGCCTGCTGCGGTTGGCTAACGATGGGGATCTGGCCTCTGCTGCGGCCCACTGTGCCAAAACATGTTGTGCAAGGATGTCTGGGCCTCATATGGCAAAACTGGGTCAAGTAAATTATATTACATTCCCACTCATTTGTGATAGAAAGAGTGCACCTGGTACAACTGAGCCATGTTAAACAAGCCCTGCTGATGTGCCAGTGGACGGCTGAGGGTGGCACCTTCCCAGTTAGCATCATAAAGTTAAGAATTGACTCAGCTCTACGTTCACATTAAAAAGCCGTTTTAGAATTAAAACCATCCAGGTCCTGACGAACGTAGCTCTGTGTCAAACAAACTAACGCACCTGAAACTAACATATAACATTACCACTCATGCGTACTGGTCATGTAAGCAGGTGTAAGGAGGAAGCCGATTGTATTTGGTTGCCGAGTTTGTGGAAAAGTCAGAAGAAAGATCTTGATTTGCTTGAAACACAGATAACGGTGGAAATATTGCTTTGCTACCTTACAACTATGTTTTTGACTCCTCACTCTAGTCTGGTTCTAAAGTAACAAATTCACATCAGTTTTCTGAAAAGAGATTTTGATTATCAGGCAAACTATCGTAAACATCCAATTTACACTCACTACAAGCTACAAGGTGGAAGAATGATGTTTTATGCTCCTGTAGAAGCCAAAAGTACATACGATATCAACTGCGCTTACAGAAAAATGTGTTTTATTTGCAATGTCAGGGAGAAGTACTACTACTCAGCCTAGAACAAGGCTTGAAACGCTTTATAGAGATTTTCTGAAATGTCAGGAAAATTAATTGGAAATTAATTTCCGCAGCCAGAGCCATTCTAAAAGTGGGTGGTCAGTGTTGCACTCCGTTGCCGGTAGTCGAGTCATGTCTGACACCAAAATTAAGAAGCCAACGTTACCAGACCCAATTGGGAAGCAAATGTGGGTATCTGTGTCATTGTTTCCAAAAGCTCACATTTCTGCTCATCCAGACTAAAACACAACCCCAGAGTTGTCAAACTATAACAGGGCCAGCAACGGTTCCTTAAACTTCCCCGTTTCAAGGGATCAAAAACTCTGGAGCAGTGTGGATGACAGGTGTGAGCGCAGCAAAAGTGATGCATTTAGAAACTAAAAGGCATCAGTGTGGATGTTGACTTAGCCTGCAGTGTGTCAAGATGGGCTCTGGCTGCTGCAGCTGTGGGTCGGCACCACTGCAGGTGTAGCTTGCTGCTGCAGCAGGCCTGACACAAGAGGGAATGAGAGAGAGGATACTGCAGAAAGAAAAGGTAGGAGGCACTGAGACGGTATGGAAAGCTTGGCAACCCTCTTCTCTTCCCACAACCCTTTTCCCCCTTTTACAGAACCCCGGCCATTAGAGCTTTATATCCCCTTAAAGAAAGATACCGGCATTTAAAAACACACCCAAACGTATAGCACATTTACATGTACTTGGTACAGACAGGAACATTCTGTACAGCCTCTATAGTAGCAAGCCGCTCTGCATTTCTCCATCTTCTCTGTGTGGCCCACTTCCCTCAGATGACCTGGGATAAAGCAACTAATCTAGCTGCTGTTGCCAGGGGAGGAGCCTGCTCAGCTTCAGGCAAGTGACTGATTCTGAGGACATACAGAGTGATGGGATGGGGGAGGGGAGGCAAGCGGCTGTATAGAGGCTGTGCATGAAGGGCAGAGAGGGTGGGGGGAGGCAAAGTGCTAAACCCAGCATCCACTGCACAGAAAACCTGTTTCATGCCACAGGCTCAGTTAATTTACAGCAGTGTCATCATTGTTGCAGCCTTAACCCCTAAAAATTGACTTTCAGAGGTGGAAAAATATAAAATGGTTGCACAACTGTTATGTTACAGTAGATAAATAATCTCATATGTGAATAGACAGTGACTTTCTTTGTGCACAGTTTACATTGTGCAGCTACCTAGTGTTGCCTGACACAGGAATGTTATCACTTCTTTGTGGTGTAATAATGTAGGTGGCACCACCATAGGGATCACAAAAACACATAAGCCAATATTTCCCCACAAATGACAACTACAATGTCGATATTGGATTTATTTTTTCCAGTTCCAGTTATTTCATGAAACAGAAATCAATATAATGTGGAGTGAAAGTGAAAATCAATACTCTTTTGTTCATTTCTCTGTCGTAAACATTGATTTACAAGGTGTGCCACAAGGAACATAGAAATATCTGTGCCTTTAACGTCAGGATTGTCACAATCAGTCAACCAATTTACTGCCCTCCAGGTAAATATATATACTGTACTGCTTATCAACGGAGAATCCCAGAGCAGTGTAGGAGAGCAAAGTTCAGACGAGGACAGTATAAATCTATTCTGTGCCCAAATCTATTCATCTGCCTGAAGCCTTTAACTCACATGTTGATGCCCCGAGCAGGTTAAAATCAAATATAAGAACTATTTGATTGAACTATTCAGATATTTGATAAATATCTGATACAGAAAATGTTAATTAACCCCCGAAGGAGTCAGAAAATGGCAGCGGTCCCCTGAAGTGACATGTTTGCACAACAGGCCTCCTGCATTCAGATCACAACATCATGTCTTCTTCTTCTCGTAATAGAAATCACTCACTAATGTTTACAGTGACTGTGAAAGCTACGCAACCTCTTGCAGATTGTTTAAAATTAAGAATTGCTCGATTGTTCAGTGTCAAAAATCTTAATAACAAATACTGTGACACTATGTTGAAATCATGAATTATGAAAACGTTTTAAGAGAGAGTGAGCAAATTTATTTTGGACGCAACCAAAGTCATTCAGATAAATGCATTTGCATTACAAAATATCACGTTTGCTACATTTACACCTGCTGCCCAACACAACTACCGAATTTTCAGAGAGATTTGAAAACGCAACCACCTCTGCTTTTGTTTGAATCTAAGGTAATTAGAATTCAAAAATCAAGAACACCATACGGACTAATTCGGGTCCTGATTGGGTCTCACCAGTCACAACTCAACGAGGGCAGAGCGTTGCTTACGCTTACTGTCAGTAAAGGTTCCACCTCGTCGTTGGTCCACGAAAAGAAATCCCTCATCCTAATTCTAACTATTGTTGTTTGTCCTTCATAGTATTTTTTGCAACTAAGCAACCATTTGCTGCCTCCCGTTTATGTGCATAACCAGTTTGCATGAATGGTCATGTGATGTGCACTTTCAGGTGAGTCAGGAAGGATTAAAACAGCTTTTAAAAGTTGCATCAGCATTTCTCTAAAACCTTTTAAGTCAAAAATGAAGACTATAACTTTCACTAAAGGTAGAACTATTAGTCTTGTCCAGGTGTACCTAATAAACTGACAACTGTGTATGCTTTTGGTAAAGTTATGAACTTCAAACTTATTAACGTATGAAGCTACATACAATGCACAGTGTAGATATGAGTTCTATGTGTCTAATGCGCTATCTTTACAGGTGGATATGTTCAGTATCTAACCGTGTTTGTGAAGGGGGCTGCATGCAGTGACTCACGCTGTAGACTGCAGCGACTCCAGGCTGTGTGGGGAAGATTCGATCGTCCAGTGACGGCTGAACCCGTGGGATTCTGAAAAGGTTGCATTAAGGAAAACTCTCAAGGTAACTGGAAACCTAAAACTAGTTTCATTTTCCAGATGAGTCAGAAGGCTTGACAGATAAGATTCCCATCATATTTTACAAAGTCATGTCAGAGGCACTGTTTAATTTACATGTTGCTGACTAAACCATGTGAGAAGCGTTGACCCGGTGTGTTTTGGAATTTTCCGTTCAGCAAACGTTGATGTAACGCTGCTGATTGTTGAATTTACATTTCTGTCTTTGACCAATGCATTAGCTGATCCTGAGGGCTTTCCTAAAAAACCCAATAGGACAGCTAGTTGGATTTCAAGAACCCCCCACCACCCCGCCCAAAATACCCCATCTCTGAGAGTACACTATGTACCTTCACCATTTTGCAAGAGTTAAAGGGAAAAGCAGAAATGGATTTCTGCACTACTTCAGGCAGGGGGACACAGAGCAGAAGATTAGACAACTGCTCACGCCTTACATGGGAAGAACAAACTTTCATACTAATTGCCTTGCTGTTCCCTTACAATAATAGGTCAAATGTGACTCTTGTCGCGACACTGAATAAACCTGTAACACTCCATGTTTCGTTAAGTCTTAAAACTAAAGTGAGTTTTCTTTTGGGCTTCAGAAACATTAAATAATGAGCGTCACATAAATCAGATGTTGTCCAAAGATGGAATGTGACATAAATAACAGGGCTCTGTGGTTATTAACCTGACTGAGCAGTTGTCTGTGACAGACAGACTTGCACGCTGCTGGTCATATGGTTTAAGGGAAACTGAACGTCTGGCTTTCTTCCTTTCATCCAAATCAGGCCTCCCTTTCCCCTAAGTCCTCTTCTTTTACTCTGCTCTCGCCTGCGGGGGCTGTCATCTCCCTTGGCCCCCTGCCAGCACCTCTACTTGTAACCGACAACACAAGAGGGAGGGGGGGGGTGCGATAAAGAGTGAAAAGAATCATTTAAAAAGAGGGCCGTGATTCAAAAAAAAAGCAGAAGCACAGCAGGAAGCATTATCTGTTTCATCGCCAGGGAATTTAGAAAAACAACACGCCTATCCCCACACAGTAAATGTCGCATGCTGGAATTAGGAGTAATTATAGAGACTCAGACTCTCACTGGATGTCGAGGGGAGAAGGGGCACAATAATAGTGAGCTGTGAGCGACACAATTATGCTTATCTGAGTCACAAAGCACAAATAAAAAGGAAAAAGTTGACGGTAATAGTTATTTCCAAATATTTCTCAACCCAGGTCTGGTGGGTGACACAGAAAGAGAGAAGAGAGGATGCAACAGTAAGGCAACTTGATCCGTCTGCTCTATGTGAACGCTAGTTGGCATGGGCAACTGTGTCGAGGACTGTAAACAGAGAGAAGGGAACAGGACGTGCACAGGTGAACCTAGGGTTTAACCTGCTGGTGCAACAGGTACGCTTCCATGTGGAGTTCAGCTGAAGCAAACGATCAGGTACGATGAGACTTGAGGGATTTTAGCTACTCTTGTTACAACTGCATCCAAATTGCTAAAAACCAGTACGCAGATTTCTATCATCTCAAAAGACAAACATGTAGTAATTGTAGAATATATATAAATATATTTTGGAGAATCCCGTTTTGAAACTCAATCAATGAGATGGAGCAGACAATCTATTTTCACTGCAAAGAAAAAGCAGAGACTTATTTAACTGCATAACTGATCGCGTCACAGCAAAATCGTTCTACATGAAAAGAACAAAATTTCCCTTTGATATTAAAAGCTTTTTAAATGTTTGGCTACATCATTTCTCTGAGGGTTTCTAATAGTTAGCTAGCATAAATAAACCTCAAAGATACTAAATTGATTGATGTGATGCGTCAAACGTTTCTTTGATTATTTTTGCCAGCGTAGGACGGATGGATGGCGGCAGTAGTGGTAAAAAATATTGCTGGCGTCTGATAACAGCTCCACTGCAGCATCACATACAGGTGATCACACTGAGTCAACATTTCCCGAGGTAAAACATCATTACGTTAGGCCATCCATGTGGGTGGCCAGGTGACCAGATGGATGCAGACACTGCAGTCAAAACTCCTATCGCTTGCATCAGGCCCAACCATGAAAGTGGCTGACCGCACTAATTAGACATTAGTCATTAGTTTGATCTCCGTTAATTTTCTGCTTGAGGAGACAGGGTAGGCACAATGTCAACTGAGAGATTTACGACAGGGACACTGCTGTCAGTGCGGATGAAAACGTATCTGCAACATCCAACTGGACAAAATTACACGATTAGATGAGGAAATGCAGTGTTTAGATAATGGGAAATAAATAGCTGTATAATCCTAATCCAACAAGAATGGCACATACCACTGACAAGGCCCAACAGTCCACTTTTGAAACCCCATTCAAATTCACTAGATCTGCATCAAATTGTTCAGTCCAAAACATGTCTGATATATTTCATCAAGATCCAGGAATTATTCTCTGAGTATCTTTTTCCAAATGTCATGGGTTCTTTCCTGATCCATACCGCATCCTTCCACCAGGTTTCATGGTTATCAGTCCAGTAGTTTTTACATTATATCTATTATTACAAACCCAACCAACAATCTGACCAGGGTGAAAACATACCCTCATTGGTAGAGGTAACCACACCTCAAGGGTTCCAGCTATTCAGACTTGAAAGGACCTTTAAGTGACCACAGATTTCTTATGACATTGGAACTATGTCCCAGGCCATCGGCCATTGTTGACAGAAAGCCAAGCTGTCTTTTAGTTTACTGCCATCAATGTTAAGTCTGATGAAATATTAAAAAACGAGACCGGCCCTGATCCCTCTTCTTGAGAAGATCATAAAGGAGTTTCGGCCACTCCTCCCTCTCCCTCCACCCCTCCCTGACCTATAAGCCACATTTAGGATGAAAAAGCTGCTGCAGCCCCTGCTTCATCATTAGCTTACTGTAAAGCCACTTAAGTTCTAAGGGTGTGAGGGGGAGAGAAAGGGGAAGACTGGAGAGAAGCTGCAGCCTTACAAGGAGCAGGATGGGCTCAGGAGGGTGATACAGCTCAATAAACTGCTAATACTGAAAAAATGAATGGATCACAGCTGCATGGTTAATAACCTCATCCCGGTGAGGTGGAAAAAAACACTAGCAATATTTAAGAAAAAGAGGTAATAGAAGGTCAGAGTGAGAGGTTAGATTTACTTATACTGATTTAGCTGCTCTGTAGACAAATTACATTACACACAGGTAATTCCTTTACCGCATAAAAAAACCCTTAAGGAACTCACTATGTCTCATTTAAATGATGCCGTCTACCTGGAAATGTCAGTGCAGAGGGTTCAGAGTTGAGGCACAGGAAGTGAGTGGAGACGACCCAGATGGTGCAGACACAAACCATCATTCCTGCTGGCCACTCACTTCCTCACTGACTCACTGCCCGCCTGCTGCTGCAGGGGCTGCTCTTTCACCATAGTATCCCCATTAGTTGATAGGTTGATGGATTCAATTCTTCCAAACCGAATCTTGGGCAACAGTGGTTCTGGATCTCTGTAGCCTCGACTGTATTTGCTTTTGGTGTTAAATTTAAAGGGACAGCATCATTTGTGGGCGACTGCGGCTGAGGGGTAGAGTCTCCCCAGTCTTCCCCACCTGCAAGCCGAAGTGTCCTTGGGCAAGACACTGAACCCTGAATAGCCCCTCATAAAACAAAATGTGCTGCTAATAGATGCCCTGTATGAATGTGTGTGAATGGGAACTGTACTGTAAAGCACTTTGAGTGGTCATCAAGAGCTCTACATAAATACAAACCACTTACATTTGGAGCCAGATGATGATAAAGTGATGGAGGTGCAATATTGAGGACCCGCTGATACAAGCGCTTGATCAAATGTGATCCTCAGAAGTAACTCATGATGTTTCACCTTGTTTACATAGCTCAAATAATTAAAATTAAAAACAAACTTACCAGAAAAATGAACACTTTAAACATACATCAGTGTGATAACAGCTACTTAAAATGACAGTCACATTTATATGATGTGGACTTTGACTTTTTGGTTTGATCAGTGTCCCATCTGCTAACATGGAGGAGATGGGGTTTATGATCTTTACTATAGCCAACCACCAGGGGGCAATCAAGATGATTCAGCTCCAATTTTATCTGTCTTTTTATACAGTCAATGAGAATGACAAGATAAAATCCACATTAAATGTATCACTTAATATAGACTTCAGGGACTAAAATTGCAATGAAGAGATGATGATGATGACATGATGATGATGATGATGACATGAAGAAAATAACATTACTTAAATACTTGGACCTGAAAGAAGTGAATGTGGACACATAGAAGGGTCTTCACCAGTTCAACACAAGTTTATAATCTGATTAAGTCAAGTCTCCAGGTGACTCTCCACCAACTGATCTCAGAGAGACCATAACATTATTTTCTTTTATGAGAATTTCAACAGCATGTGTAAACATGTGCAACATTAGCAATCGCATTGCTACACAGTTTGTTGTGTATCTCTCAAACACTGCCAAGATGCATGAAAAAAATCTTTGCTTCCTATAGTTTAGTAACCAGCCATGGTGGAAGCAACCTTGATATTATTTTGCAGTGGCAGTAATCTTCTGGGAAAGTCTGTCGACACAACTGCTGTTGGAAATCTGAAATGGTTGGATTGTGCTGTTGAACGGTGTGTGTGTGTGTGTGTGTGTGTGTCAACCACAGGTGATAATTTTATTTTGAGCCAAATTACACTGCCAGAGAAATTAAACAAATTGTCACTAGGTTACTGGGTCGTGTTTAAACAGCAGCAGCAGCAATGAACTCAGCAAGCAGCACAACAAGACCGAGCGATAAAGAATATGACCCAGCTGACAAAAAACACTTGGCAACTGTGCTTATAAAACGGTATTCAATTACTAACAAAGACCAAGTTTCACCATGAAATGCCCATTATACTACTTAATGTATAATAAGGTATCATAATAAGACTAAAATAAATATCCAACTACAATGTGACTCAGTAGAGCGCACACCTCCACCAAGGCCCAACAGTCTACTTACATACAATCAAGCTACATCAAATTTCACACACTCAGAGATACAAACATACAATCAAACAGACAGGAGTAAAATGAAAACCTCTTGGATGAGGTAACAAAGACATGCACACATGGGCAACTGACATGAATGCCTAAAATGACTAGCATAGCTAGCTGTCAACAGCCGCAAATTAGCAGATCTACCACACTTACAACTGACCTTAAACAAAACTGTTCTTCTCTGCAGTATATTCTCACTGCAGGCTACATACCAAATTGTAATGGTACATTTTTAAAGCAATGTATAAATTGTTGCTCTGACGCAAGTTTTGGCAAAAGTTGTGAAAAGTGTCAAACTACACAAATACGTGGTCCTGTAGGAGCTGCTGAAGGTTGTAATGCATTGAGAAAATGTCCAATATCACCATTTACTAAGTGGATTTGAAAAATGTTTCTTGAGAGTAAATATATACAGGTAATTCTAGCCCGAAGTAATATAACCACATTAAGATCACTTCAGATAAAAACACAGGCAGAGCACTGACAGTGTGCAGGATGTCTTCTTCAACAAGCCACTCCCTCTCTGTAAAGAACAGTCCTGCATGCTGGCTCACAACAACTCAGCAGTTTATTTATAACATCCCACAGAGAGTAGACTCATGAGAATATCTTCTCATGCAGGCTGCACACACCTGTCCTGGAATATACAACTACTGTGCTGTGTGACCTCCCAGCTGGGTACATACATGACGTTGCAACACCTCAGAACTAGCTCTGGCTGACACTGCATTCCTGGCCAACAGGGTTACATTGGATTTCTCTTCTCTTTACAGGCAAATGCTGCTGTTCTTTTTGTCCAAGCAAAAACACAAATCATGAGGAAAAAGAAGGGGAAAACATTTGCCATGTTGTGGGACAGAAAAAGTAGTGAGTCTATTCAAAGAGAGGCAAAAATACTGTATCATGAAAGCTGAGGGTTTGGAGGGGGGAGGCACACAGAGTGGAGCAGGCGAAAGTGGGGAGAAAGCCTCCGTTTTCTCAGCTGGGCCAGCAGTGGGATGAGGTGAGCTATGGGGGGATGGAAGGAAATAAGGGAGGGCTAAAGCCGGCTGAGTGACCTGGGCCTTTGTTGGCAGATGGTGGGAAGCGCCACCTTGGCCTCTCGTTCTGAATGTTAAGCAGTGCTGCCATTGTCTGGCAAGTGCAGCAGCAGACGCATGCGCTGGGCGTTTCTCTGGCAACCAGGAACAGAAACAAACTGCCCCCCCTCACCATACCATCCCGTGAACTGCACACACGCCTCGCTCACAACCCCTGTGCATCTTAAGACGACATCCTCCAAATGGGAATTCCCATACACCACAAGCCTCGGCCAGACAGAGTCACATTCTCCCACACTCCCGACCTCTGAGGTCCACACAGAGTGAGAGGTCAGACAAGTGGTGACACTTTCATACAGAAATGAAAATCAAATATTGTCCAGTGAACTGCTGAGGTCAATATATGTGGGTCCATCAGGGACATCTTGCAAAAAGATTCCCATGACAAAACAGACTAGTTTTAAATTATCATCATTTGATGTTAGTATAATTTATTCTTCTGTTAACTCCCCACCTACTGAACAGATGATATAAGGCATGCATAAATCACACTTCATTATACTGAAAGACATTCCAAATACAAAATAATCCACTGAGATAGCACTGCAAAGCAGAGACACCAGATATACCACATAACTGAATCACTCCTTTTTAACACATTATAACACTAATAATTATTTATTTCATAGAATGAGGATTAATTGCAGGGTCACTTGACTGGATTGAATTTAAGGTACATTTAACAGGAATAACCAATATGGCGTTTTTTCTGGATTGAATTTAATAGTCTTCATGATCTTATCTCAAACTCGTAAATAGATTCTGTCATAGTTGAGTAGTTTCTGCATATTCCCGCTAACTAACAAACATGTGCAGAAAAAAATCAAATCTTCTCACTAAATTAACTCCTGTGCAACATAGATCTGATGGCACATGCAACATGGTCAGACTGGTCACTGAAGTAAATTCATTTTAAGTAAGAATGACACCAAAAAGCCAATGGGTACAATATCTCCTCCTTACAAACAGGAATATTACCATTATTCTATTTTATTGTTATGCATCAATGCCTTTAAAAAGACATTTGTCGGGTAAATGGAGAGGATGCTGTTATGCACTCAACTGGTAGGAACTTTAGATCATAGAGCTGAAAGGAGGTTAAGCAAATTCAAACAGTCATTTCAGAAGGTGGGGGGGGTCAGAGGAGGACATGACACAACAAATCCAGAGACCATTAACTCCTGTGTTTGATTTACTCATCTAACTCACAGACAAATACAAAGAAACAGCAGCACACTGTAAGCGGAGAGGGCTTTCATTTAATTACGCTCCCCGGTGCCATAACCTGCAACCTCGTACAGAAGACAGGAAGACATGGTGGCTGTGATCATGGGTGGCAGGAAATCAGGTTGAGACATCACACCTCCAAAACTAAGCCACCGCGGAAGCTGTCAGACACATCTCTGTGCCACTGACAGACAGGAGACTTGGACCTAATCCTCTGCCTCACACTGCCGCCACCACCACCATGCTGTAAATAAAACAGGAGCTGGGGTGACATAACCAGTGACTTCATTCCACCGAAAGTAGGCTAGAGAGACACCATCTCTGAGTCAACTCAAAAGGTGAATGAATATTCTGGGGGCAGTGGCAGCAGGAAGCCCTGGGAATAAATGCTGATGTAGTCATTCGCTGCATGTGTGGGGGAGATGGTAAAACACAATTATGATGCATGAGGAGGCATTTTAAACACGTTTATAAGCTGATGATGGTTTCCTGCATGTTTATACTACATCAAACATTTATATAGCTGATGAGGAGGTTAGGAAACTACCTTGCTACTTTCTTATTGCTCATCTACGCATGCTATGTGGGCCAGAGAGAGCTCCCCGGCCCAGGGACTGACAGGCCCGTCAAGGTGCACGGGAACACCCCCATCCCCTCCGACAAGCTAATGTTGTGTGAAATGGGCAATTCCCACAAGCCGGGCCTTGTACTGGCTATCATTAACCTCCATTAACAAGCGCCGGGTCACCACCCCGAGATGGGCTGGAAGCTTCCCCTGCTCTGCGGTGGTGCCTCCGCGGACTTGTGCACTTGCTAGCCTCGCAAATGTTAGCAGCGGAGAGGCTAATGTACCTTGCTAGCCAACAGCGGTAACTGAACAAAGCCGGCAGCCGGTGTGGAGAGCCACTTAGCTTCCCGGTGATGGAGCTAACCTGTGATAAATTGAGTTTTCTCGCTGCACTCAGGGGGCACTCACATCTAATCAAATTAAACTAGCGGGATTAGAGAAGCGACAGCTACCGACAGCCAAGCTGACATTTCCGTTAGCTTTGACAACCGGCTCCATAAGCTAATGCTAGCATACCTAGCTAGCTAATTGTCCCCTCCCCTCGCAGCTGCCCCCCAAAATGAAACCATCATCCCCCGCATCCAACCTCTCCGACCAGCCGCTAATAAAACTGCAAAGTGGGGATACTCACATGAGGGGATATGTTTGAAAGCACAAGCCATGGCCGTGTGAAAGGATACTGAGGCGGCGGCACGGCGCCGGGCTGCGGAGCTTGTGGGGCTCCCGGCGGCAGAGACACGGAGGTCAGGGCAGCCCGCAGTTGGCTCGACGGAGAGGGGCCACTTCCAGGTCCGCTCACTGCGACAGCGGCTTGTTTGGGGACCACTTTCGGTGGCAAACTCATTGCAAAAAAAAATGTAACAAATAAAAACAATACCTCAATAAATACTGATAGGAACAGCGGCTAGCTTGCAGGCATGGAGCAAGCGTAGCAGTTTCTTGAAGCAGGCCGCGGATCCCTTTAACGAAGCGGGACAGCGAAGCTCGAATAGCAACACAAACGTCTCTTTTCTCATGGAAAGTCGCAGCTCGGATCAGCGGTGCTGCTCATGGGGACGACGGGAGGTTTCGCCTCCCTCGTCCGTCCGGAACCTCCGTGGATCCGGCTCGGTTCGTTTCTCTCACGGGGGAATGGTCGCCGCGGTTTTGAGCCTCCGTCGGCGATCTACCTTCTCTTCTCGACAGGTCTGTTCTCCATCATTTTCTTCCTCGCACAGATGAGAGACTTCGCCAACATGGCGTTGCGGCCGCTTCCAGCAGTCCGGGCAGGACAGGACGACTCGGCAATCCTCGGCCGGTTACGGAGTCGCTCGGCTAATCAGCCAACGCGAGGCTCGGTCCAATCGAATCGAACGCGGAGATTCAAAAAACCTGGTTCACGCGCAAAATCGATTTGTATCCATTTTTTTCCCCCCCTCAATATTTTCTTTTTCGCGGTTTGGACCAGAAATAAGTTAAAACGGATAAAAAGTCCAACAGGGATAAAAAAAAAAAAAATACAGATAATAACTTTATGACGCAAAAAAAAAAATCCAAGAAAAATGTCAAATGTGCAGAAATCCTTCTGGTGGTGTGTGATGATCAGTGTTCAGACGCGTTCACATGTTGTGATCAGTGATTTCCGAGAGGTTTGATTAATTTCTCATACTCTGCAGCAAACTAGTCCATGGACCTGTGTGTGTGTGTGTGTGTGTGTGTGTGTGTGTACCGCGCCACCTACCGTCTGTTTGGTTGCTTTGCAGTTGCAAGTTTGCAGGAATGCAAAAATCCCATAAAACGGTTGTTGTATGATTGACCTTAAGTTTTGAAGCCTTGCATAATGTTTAGAAACTGTTCTCCCAGGCCATCAGTTGGTTTTCCAGGTTCGAAATCTAGTGCACGTATATTTAAAAAAAGCACCCACTTTTCAGAGATTTGCCTACACAGTTATTAACTTGTGAATCATGATTTCGGTCAACATTCACCCAGAGCTCCAATCTGAAACTCCCAAACTGATGGTCTGAATAAAACTCTACATCCTGGAGACAGGGACAATTGCTCCTAACATATTGTTTGCTTTCTGTTGAAGTTAAGTCCAATCACATGCACTCTATATACTGGGTTATTTGTTATTCACAGATGTCATGCGCAGAAAAAAATGATTGTGCGTCAGAAAGAGATTTCAAACAATTGAACAAACTGTAGACACGAGACAAAGATGTTTTACGACTGGTTTTATTATACAAAATAATGTTTACTCATAAAAACATTTATGGCTTAGTCTACTGCATTTCGTTGCTTTATACTTGTGACGTGCAATGACAATAAAGTTTAATCTAATCTACATGACCAAGTTCTGAATTAATCTCTATAAAATTTGACCAGATTGTGCAACATAAAGTATAACAAAGATTCAAAGGCAAACTGTTGATGCAGTGTTAAAATATATTTAAAACCAATTCTAAATGAACGGCTTTAACTTGTCCGGGTGTGAACCAGATTTTCGTCTTCCACCACATTTAAAAATCGTGGACTTCCTGGTTCACTGTTGTGTAAAGAGTATCACCATTAATAAAATACAATAACAATAAAACCGTAGCAGATCAGAGCGTAGTGACGAGTTACAATAGAAAGAAACTTCCTCGCTCATTCATTACTGGGACAAACAAGCTGTTTGACAGTGGTTCCCCCGCTTTCTGCAACTATCTATTGGGTTTCCAGTGTTCTAAAAAAGCACATTTATAGCCACATCAGATTTCAGAGCTCAGGGAGAGCTGTTTGCTATACAAGCAGTCCTTGAGGAGAAACTTCGAAGACTGAAATCCTCTGTACAGAGCAGGCACAGTTTGTCCAGGTAAGGGGCCTCAACGTGGCAACAACAGCAGGAGCTTCAGTGGTTCTCGTGTTCCTTGTCCAGAGAGACTGTCAATATCAAGCTATTAAAATAGCTACTCTCCCCCATCAACGTCCGTTTCACTCCTGGGTGATAAACAGCAACAAGAGGTGAGGTCTCACCAGAGCTCACACTTGTGTTTAGGGTTCATAGGAGCATCAGCTTTGCAGCCAAAGTGCTTTGAGAAGTCATGTGAATTGGAGATGGTGCCGATGACTCTGAATTTTGATGGACTGTGCGGATCTGTGATCACGCCCTCGTGTGAGCTCTCCGGTGTCCTGACGGAGCACCATACCTGCAACGTGACAGCGGATAAACACACAACACATGAAAATATTATTTTATGTTGATTTCTATTAAGAATTATAGATAGAGTTGAGACACTGGCCTTATTTTTTATTAGAACATTTTCTGGAAGATTAACATTAATTTTCTATTTTGTTACAAAATTTGATTTCCCCCTCATGTCAAAAATATGTTTCTCCCTTTTTCTTGGCTTTGACCTTTGAGCTTCAATGTGCACACTGATTTATGTGCAACGTTTTGACACTAGAACGCTGTTTTCACACTCGCTTGTCGACCTTAAATCCAGAGTTTAATATGTGTGCACAGGAGCATGAGGATTTTGCTAACAGCAGTTAGTTCAGAGTCTATCACAGTCCCACAGTGTGTCTTACACAAGCGTTCAGCACAAATACACTGATAATGGACTTAATAATAAAGTAAGAGATAAAGCGAGTGAAGCTGAGTGTGTGTGTTTCTTTTTCTTAATTTTTGTTGCATGTCAGATATAGCAAAGATATTTCCATGAAAACATGTCTGGAGAGAAGTGATATGGTAGTACAGTTGTAGTATGAGCATGTCTAGGGTAGAATAAAGAAAAACAGAATATAATGTGAGTGATACAAACCTGTGCAAATCCTACAAAAAACAGCTGATGGTTCGTCAATCCCAGGGCGGGCAGCGTGGCCTCCTCTCCGTTCTTTTCGATCCAGTTCACATAAGCCTTCCAAGCAACAAATGATCATGTTACAATCATGCAATCACTCTTTTGCTCTGCACATGGAAAACTATACACATGTAAACCAGAGAATACATAGAAATCACTTTCTACAGATTTACATGTACCATTTAATGTGCAATGCTTTTACTTCCATACGATTTGCTCATCTGCTTCCTAGCCCATGACCTTTCAATACATGGAAAGAATGTGTACATGTGAAGAAGTAACCAGAGGCTGACAAGGCCACTCGTAACCACCTGTTGCATTTCCAGGCTTCACTGTAAACCAGACAACCTGCTTTTTCCAATACAGATGCATGGATGCGACCCACAACAGTCTTGATAAATAACGGAGCGGGGGATTAATCTGAGATTGCAGCGATAGTTTTGTGACCTTGTAAAAATGTGATCCGACAAAGTTGCCTTAGGTGACACAGAGGTCACTATAAAATGTCATGCACTAGCCTTTTGTTGTTTTTTCACTTCAGTTACAGAAAATATTTGAGGTGAATTCTACTTCCTCGACATCAGACCTTGTAGGCAGCTTTGAGTCCACCGTTGTCAGCGATGTTCTCTCCGAGGGTTTGTTTTCCATTCAGAGGCTCCTTGTTGATGGTGTAGTTTCCGTACTGCTCCACCATGCACTGGGTCTGCTTCTTGAACGCCTCCACAGAGGAGTTCTTCCACCAGGGCCGCAGGTTTCCATCCTTGTCGTATTCTCTCCCTGTTTGAATAGAACAGTGACATGTAACTGTGTTCTGTGCCAAGCTGTGTTTTAAAGACTTATTCAATTCATAATATAGTACGATATAATTCAATTCAGAATAATATTAAAATGTACCAACCTTGGTCATCAAAAGCATGCGTCAGCTCATGTCCCATGACTACGCCTATTCCACCAAAGTTGAGAGCTCTGGATAACAAAATAGAGATCTGTGTATAAGACTGCAAGTTTGTTAAAGCAGATACAGGCTGAGGCTCATTTCTGTCCAGTCAATATGAAGCTGCAGCAAGGTACTTTAGCTTAGCATAGAAACTGGAAGCACCCAGCACATCTGAATCACACATACCGGTAAGCTCTTCTCAGACATGCACCAAACTTTCTGACATTTTTTGGAGGGACTCAGTGTGAGAACACAGTTTTCCTTCCAGCCCCTGAGTAAAATGTCCTGAAAATGTCTGAATGAGCCCATGTGAAACTACAGCAGGAAAAAGTCCTCAAAATTCACAGTGAGCGAGTGGGCGTGTCGATGACGTTTTTAACACATGATGCATGTAAAACTGTGAGAACCAAACGAGAAGAGTAAAAATATCTCAGGATCAAAAAGAGGAGCTATACATGCATGTTCATGTGAAAGGTGAAGTCTGAAAAATTTCCAGACCCAAATTTCTTGTCATTTTCTGAAGTTCATGTCTGAAAACAGCTTTAATGGTCTATTTGGGCACAATGAGTCTTACTTGGGCCAGGATCGACTGTAGAACGGAGCTCGAAGGATTCCTGCTGGCAGAACCATCTCGTTCTTGGTCGGGTTGTAATATGCATTCACAGTCGGCGGGGTCATGCTCCACCTGCAGACACAGACACCACATGAGGCAAGGTTACTACAAATTAAGAATATCGACTGTGCACGGTCGGATATGCCACCTCACTCCCCCGCAGCCTAATTAGAGACAAGGATCTGTTCAGTGGACAGAAGCTGGTTGCCTGGAAACATTTGTGGAGGGAGGCGGCGTTCTGCTGTGTCAGTATAATGGGAATGTGTCTCCCCGGCCGAGCGTGCAACCTTCTTTCTGGCAGGACGAGCGACTCACTGGTTTCTGTTGGGGGTTTTCCTCAGCTGGTCGGCCGTCACTCTGGCTGAGAAGTTGTAGTACTGCATGACATTTTGGAAGTAGAGATCTGACACCACCTCAAACTGAAAGAGAGAGGATAGAAATACTCCGGGTTTTATTATGAGATCAAATACAGGTGACAAACCAAACGATTCCACGTTTACTTACATCATTGAACACTTTGTCCAGCTTCGTGGAGTTCATGATGAAGTCTGGATATCCCACCATGTTGTATATTGCGTCTGCCTGTGTAAGATAACGTTTGAAAAACTGTAAAAGACACATTTTCACACCAGGTGGCAGTGCTGTATTGTCCTTGTATTCATTATTGGCTGTGTAAATTCTGCACGCAGCTCTTGGTTGCGTCTATTCCTTTCTAAAAAGGTTTTGTCTTCTCTCTATGATCATTCACAGCCATTACAAAATGTCGGGAATTGATACTGATCATTTAATTGCACAGCTGACACATGGAATCATTTTAGACAAACCAACTGTGCTGCTTTTCAGCATTTTGATTAGTATTATATTAGGCCCATGTTCTTTTGCTTAAAAACGAATACAAATAATAATTAAGACGAATGCTAAATAATAAAAAAAAAAATGCCTCCCACACTATTTTGGAGCTTTTGAGTGGCTGAAACATAAAAGTTTGGAAATGCTGGTGGCCCTGGTGTAGTTGGAAAACTGTGTTTGGTATAAACAGAAAAGCTTTCTCCCTCGTCCTGATTGGTTCTTGTCAGTCATGACTCAATAGCCAGTGGTGAGGGCAGCTGGGGTTGTGTCTTGGTGCAGGTTCTCAGTGCCTGCGGGGACAATGATGATCTGGGGACGGCCAATAAAGTCTCATTGAAGCAGCTCGACAATATGTCCAGTGCTTGCACACATCTGAGCTCCATAAACTTCCATCAGTAACACCACCTACGCCTCTGGCTTGGCTGGTACAGTGGGTGGAGGTGGGGTCATCCTGGCCAACAGGGAGGAGGTCTGTGTTTGGGAAAATGACTGTGGGAAAGTTTGTTGGCTCATCTCATGCCAAGGCTGAGGGGTAAGAGGCCGGGTGTGGTTGAGAGGCTCCGTCTGTGGGATTTGGGCTGAGAAACAGTGGAGAGGAGCGCAGGGGGAATTAGGAGGTCTCAGGAATTGTAGCTGCCTCCTGTGTCCTCCTGGACCCACAGACTGGTGTTCCTCCGTCACACCTGCTTAATGCTAACACTTGTCCATGAACCAGTATTTTCTACTGTTAAGCACCTATTTGTCAAATAGGTTCTGTGCTTTCCTTCAGTTCCTCCATCAAAAGTTTTGTTATGAGGTAATTTCTGGTGTTGCTTCTCTCAGTGTGTGTCCCTGTCTCTTTAACACTCAGGTCTTATGTGTGAATGAAGACACACAGCAGGATCTTTCACCCACCTTTTCTTTGGCTGCTTTTTTTGTTTCCGGGTCCATCCAGCCCACATCCTTCAGACTGTCCTCAAAAGCCCATTTAATATCTGCGACCATGTCTTCAGCCTGAAGCACACAGGACACAATGGAAAGTCAGAAATGCGCATCATCTCACACAGCAGGTGGCTGATGTGCTGAGAGGGACTTACAATGGCTTTATTGTCTTCGGCAAAGGTGGCTTTGACGAACATGGCTCCGAGAGCAAAGCCCAGGGCGATGTCGGTGTCGCTGACGCACAGCTTCCAGCGAGGAGTGCAGCTCTGCAACATCAGAATGAAAAACTTAAGTCACGAATATATCCTCACGATCCCGTCACTTCCTGTATGTACCACAAAGATCATGACATGAAGTCCGATGAACGTGACAGGACTTGTTGCATTGAGCTGTGGACAAGTGGACAGCTCTGAGTTCATACCTGACATTAAAATGCAATGTGTCTCCTGTGACGATATGTTATCTGATCTCACTTCCTGCTGTATATGCAAATACGCACCTACGCCATTTGTGTTTGCCAAGAACAAACTATGTCCTTTCTGTGGAACCACTTCTCTATTTCAAAGTATGTGTAAGTCTTGTGTTTACTGGTCTTTTGTCAGATTTAAACTTTTTACTGTTTTCACAAGTAAACGGTAAATTTAAGTATTTAAATAGCACTTTTCTAGTCTTGATGACCATTCAAAATGCCTAGTGGTACAGTTTTTGCCATTCATACACACATTCATACATACATACATCTATATGCAGCACTTTCTCTATAACACATCACTCATACACAGCCAGCTTAGCCATCAGGGGCGATTTGGGATTCAGTATCTTGCCCGAAGACACTGCAGCAAACAAAATGGGGGAATCAAACCTGCAACCTTCTTGTTAGTGGACGAACCGCTCTATCTCCTGAGACACAGTCACCCACAAATAGCACCTCTATTTTTAATATTCCGTTATCTCTAACCAGCCAACATGTTCCTGCTTTAGGTCAAGAACACTGATAGATTAATTTCCCCTGTATGTGAAGTGAAAATGGCAGCCTACACAAGTAATGCATTTTTTAAACGTCAATACAAAACTATATGAGCAGAGTTGTGTTAGTTTTTGTGCAATACGTAAAACATTAACTACAACTGCCTCTGTTGATATTTGAATAGGCTTAAATCCAATGAAGACAGAGAAATCCAAGCCATACTTTGTTCAGAGGATTCACGTACCAATGAAAACAGTTGTGATCTTGAGAAATTCAAGACCTCTGTGAAGCAATGCTGAGCTGTTATCCCTCTGCGGCCTGAGAGACACAGTGTTCCTGCTGAAGGAACAAGTGCTGTGTTGTTTTTGATAGATAAAAAAGCAACAACAGGACAAGCCACATGCCAACTCCTGGTCAATTTACACTCAAAACTGAAGCGAGGCGAGCGAGACGGCCACCAGGACAGAAGAGAAGTGGAGACAAATGACGGAGGAGTGAATTCAGGAGGGAAAACAGATACAATTATTTTGTGAAAGGCTGTAACTTATTATCGAGCTGTTCTGTGACACAGCCTTGAGCCTCAAAGACCAACAACACACACTTAACACGTAACAAACATGACTCAATCTGAAAACAACAATTTCTCATCTTGACTGAATCAAAACTTCACGTTCTGTGTCACTGTCTGTGCGTGGGTCAGTAAAAAGTCCCTATATGGCAAAGTCATTATCGGGTGAAGGGAAGGACAAGGAAAAAAATAGAGCTACATGTATTCAGACAGAAAGGAACAAGGTCGCAGTGAGGAAACGAGGAGTATTCTGAGCAAGCAAAGTTGTAAAATGTGCTCGGACACATAGACACAGATGGAAAAAGAGACAGTTTCGCACTCTCACGTTGAACAGACACACAAAAGAGACACACAGCAAGTTTAGGAGTTGTTATTACAGCTTGACCCCAGTGGAAAACAAGGCAGAGGAAACAGGATCTTGCTCAGATAAGAGCTGTGGTCATTGGAGCCGCCGCAGTCAAAAAAATAAATCAGTTTTTCTTCACTGAGAATAAAATTAAGCTTGCTGCGGAGTCAACACATTTCTCACCTAAGAGCTACAGGTTTTAGCGTATAAACAACCTGGTGTGTTAATTAAAGGGTCACTTCGTCAAATGTGCAAACTCCGCTAGACAACCTGTGATGTGGTGGCATCCTGCAGCACACACTGTTTGATTTACTGTGGATTTCAGACATCTGCCTCCAATACAGCACATCTGAACTGAGTTTTGTTAGTGGTACTCACCGCACTGAAAAAAAATCAACAGTAACATCTCCGTCCAAAAACACTCTTACGTGGAGTCGTTCCAATTAAAAGTGTTCACAGAGAGGTCGGTGCGTTTTCTAAAGAAACCAGGTCACCGTTCCTGGAAAGACGCGCTGCTCCTGCGTCTGTTTAATCTTTTGAGCGCCAGAAAATGAAATTCCATTGCAAGTTATTCGTTGGGGTAAAATCACTAAACTCGAGTGTGTAAGATCCAAATTATCTGCAGGCGTAGATACGATGAGCGGTAACTCACTCTCACACATGGAAAACTATTTTTTCAGAGAAACTTTAAGGAAAATATACATGATAGGTTACATGCAGCTCAGTGCTCAGTTTGTCATTTGTCTGATTTTTCTTCTGCACGTTATTAGATTTTTTGAATCAAGTCTGGAATATCCAATAGAGTCTTTGGGTTAATTATTATCAATAGACCAATAAATGAGGCTGAATTGTAGCTCTGTGAAGCAGCTTAACTTCGAAACCTCTGGAACCTATTCAGGAAACCGGGTTGCTTGTTTTCATGAAGTCTAATGCTGGCTGATTATTTACACTTCTTGTGAAATCTCGTCACAGTGGAGGGAAAAGTCTCTGCTTCTCTTTTGGAGCCAGTTTTCCTTTATCTGCTCGCACCCAAAATGAATCCTCTGCCGAGTATCACACAAAAGAACAGGAGTTAAGGAGAAAGGCTGTAAACCCAGCTGTTCGGCTCTGGGCCACTTCCTCTGACACTACTGGACCTCTGAAATCCCACATGTACCAAGGTTAAAAGGACTTTTTAGAGCGATTCGACTCTTTCTCTCTGCTGTGTGACAACTCCAATAAACTGTTGATTGTAGAACAACAGCAAAGCAGCAACTGAGATACTTGTGACCAGTTTTCAAACAGACACTAAAAATACATTATCAGGATGAGAATCTGCCTGCAGGTCAAACATGTACAGAGGATTACTTTTTTCACTGCTTAATCCCATCCCTGTGTTTTAATCCACGTGTCACGTTGGATCACTGTGTTTTTTTTCGTTTACCTTTTTGGTTCCGTACATGACCTCGAGGAAGCGCTGCTCAGCATCCTGGAACTTCTGGTCCAAAATGGAAACCATCTTCCTCACCACCTTCATGATCATGTAATTGTTGAGGAGGCTGCAAAGAAAATATCACGTTGTTTTTTTTTATTGGTTACTTCAATAGTGCCTGAATGCTTGTAGGAGGGTTTGTAGTAAGTTGTATTTACAGAGTATATTAGTTCCAGTTTAACTACATCATTATAAATTAGAGTAAACACACATCTCATAGCTACACTTTGTCTTTCACACGTCAATGGAAAAACTCTGAGGCAGGGCTGATCATCTGACCTTTTATTTGTTTTATCTATGAGCTCAGAGACTTTCTGGAGGTACTCCTTGGCATAAACAACCACGGGCTCAGAGTCGTTGAGCGGCACTGGAGCAAACACTTCTCTGAGGTATGGCATCCAGTCCACTGCAGGAGCCAGAGCCTACAGACGTAGACAAAACACGCACACGCACAAAAAAACAAACAGAGAGACATGGTGGAAAAAGTCTGGACACAAACATGTACTGCTTCCTAATAGGATTTCTCACTACCCTTTTGGCTATACGGGCATTAAGCTGCTTTCGGACATGCAGAGGGGCTGTACGTGAGAACGCAGATGTCTGAGTCAGTTGCTCCGACAAGTGACGAACGAATAAGTCAACTTTTAAAGAAAACAGCAATTGAGTGCTTTTGACAATAAGAGCAGACGCCGCTGTCAATGTGCTGTAAACAAAAACACCTGATATCCGCAGCAGAATTTATGTCCGGCCTCATGCGCAGACACGTCCATTCACCTAAATGTTTTTCCTGCTGACAATCAACTGCTGCTATCTTCATATGTTCCAATACATTTTCCAGAGTTCACGTCTGAAAACAGCTTAAGAGTCATGATTTGTCGACAATCATTTTCTTAAAAACCGTGTGCCGTTTCTGTTGATTCATTAAGAAACTCACCGTCAGATCCTTGGCCTCCATCTTGTGGTAGATGAGCTCTTCATCACGTCTCTCCTCCTGAGGGACTGTGATGTTGGCCAGAGTTGTTTCAAAGTCCACAATCTCCTCCATCACTGCCAGAGACGTTTCCTTGGTGCCTCCCAGAAGAACACCTAACTCCACTAGGAAGTTGAGGTATGCTGTCAGATACTGCAAAGTAAGGGTGGGAGCGGACAGTGAGGCAGAGATGGGGGAGGTTGGGAAGACGAGGAGTGTTTCAGAGGTTAATAAAATTTAATTAAGACGGTAATCCTAAACTATGCAAATACAAGCTATGCAGAGTTTTTTCTTTTTGCCTGAAGCTGAAATATTTTACTTTTAATATTTCCAGATTTTCTCCAAATGAGCAATGTGTCGCACATTGGATATTATTTCAATTCCAGAAAACATCTGGATTAGCTAACACACTCTGAGTCTAACGTCCCTCTAACTTCTAGTGTAACACTGTAAACAATTTGTGCACAGTACCTTTTCATTTGCTGTCTTGTTGAGGTAGTAATCCCGTGAAGGAAGTCCCAGGCTGGACTGATCCACCTGGAGACAAGAGAAACATCCAATGATGTTTAGCTCACAAACATCTCTGTGTTTCCAGACCTGCAGACTACAGGGTCTCAACAAAGATAAAACATGTCTCCAAATTATTTTTATTGATGAAGAAAACAATCAATTATTCTCTTCCTTTTTTAATTGAGGCAAGGTTTTAACATTTATGATGTCATGTTAGAAGGATTGTAGGGCTTTTTCCTCCAAACACACACAACGCTTTATTTTTATTTACTTACCTGCATTCAACGAGAAAAAAATATCAGTGTCAGAGCCACTTGTGCATGTATGAAAGTTTCTCCGGACTTCCTTCGGGGGTCATTTATGAAAACGGCTTCAGAAGCAGAGTAGCGTCTGGGAAAAAAATGATGCTCCACACACAAACTTACTCTGAAGCCCTAAAGCAGCAGCTTGTCTTAGAATATAACACAAGACTTTTGAAGGTGATGTAAGTCTTTTGGGATGTGATTAAAAATATCACCAAGCCTGTGAAAGCCCAGTAAAGAGGCCTGTAAACACGTCTGACCCGCTCACCTGGATGATGTTACTGTTGGAGTTTTTCGAGTCGGTGCTGACAAACACAGTGAAGAAAGGGGACGTCCGGTAATTGCCCGACACCATTCGCAAAACTTCCTGGAAGTTTTTCTTGTCCCAGGGTCCGGTCAGGGCCCATCCCCCAATCTAAGACAGACAGTGATTAATCAGATGCTCAGAGTCACAAGAATGCGAGGACATTCATTATTTTGGTTTAAAAGAAAAGGGATTGAAACGATGAATGAGTCCGTTTTTTTTACAGTAGTGGGAAATAAGCATACCTGGCTGATCAGCTGCTGTAGTGGTTTAGCTCCCAATTCCTCAATCTTGGACTCATTCATGCAGGCCTGATAATATCTCTGGGCCTTTCCCTCAGCCTGACTCAGACCTTTCATTGTCACATTTTCTAAACAAATAAAGACAGATATTAAACTGAGTATGAAGGAAAAACAGGGCGTTTCCCCAGCACTGGAAAAATAATTGTGCTACTTTTGCCTGGGGCGAAGGCAGCTGAAGACACGGAGCAGAAGTCAGACAAGGACCTTCACCTAATAAATGCTTCATTACAAGCATGTTGTGCTCCCAGAGGTTGCTGAAAGGTCCCCAGCGGGACTTGCCCTCGGGCAGGGGGTTGTTCTTCACCCAGCCTCCACAGGCAAAGTTGTAGAAGTCATGGCAGGGGTCCACGGATCGATCCAGGGCGCCCATCACTGTACTGGCCACAGTGATGCATGGCTCTGTTAGGCACAGGCCAGGATGAGCTGTACAGAAGAAGATTTAAAAAAGAGAAGCAGGCTAAATCATTGATACTTCAACTTTAAACCCTCAACTTTATCAACCCTGTGTGGAAAACACTTTCTCTTAGTAACACGTGGCTGCCCTGTGTGTGGTCAGTGGTCAAAAGCAAAGAAGCTAAAGCCAAGAAAAGTTGCTAATACACCAATTAACATATTCATGACATCAATGAAAAACTCCATCCAACCATTAGCTCATCCTTTTTCACAGGGCTGATATACTGAGACAAACAATCATTCACATTCCACTCACATTCACCCCTACGGACAATCTAGAGTCTCCAATTAACCAGACCCAGCTCTGCGCTCTGTGGGGGGGGAAGCTGGAAAAACCCACGCAGTCACAGGAAGAACAGACAGATCCCTGCCAGACTGGAATTCGAACCAGGAACCTTCTTGATGTGAAGCGACAGTGTTAACCATTTACCACCGTGCAACTCATTAACCTCTATGTCAGTTAGTGTGCAGTCAACACAGAATGGTGCATCTGCAGAGAGAAATCTAATTCAATGCAGGGAAGATTAAGGAGACTTCATTTACAAAGAAAGATGCTAATGTTTTTTCCAAAAAAGCTACAAGGGGCTTTTCTGAAAAAGAGACTCTAAAGGGATCTGAAACTCTTTGTTGGAGTTTAACTTCATCAGTCAGTGAGTGAAGTTCACGGCTTCAAGGCCCTGCAGCTTTGCTCCAGCCAAAAAACAACTGTGGATAATCAGAGAATATTTCATTTTGGACGTCCAAGTATTCATGCAGGTTTCCAGACCATCCACAAACTATTATTTCAAATGCGGTAAAAGCCAAGATATACAACCTGCAGGGAATATTTATCCATGTAGAGATCTTGTATAAATAATGATTTGAGAAGTGACGGTTGCCATCTGATTAATAAATAGAGAACACATGAACAGATGAGGGTGAAGGAGCCTGGATGACTTCAGGTCAATCACTTTCATCTGAACTGGCTCGTAGATAAACGTCATTGCACCTCTGCTTGTTTCTGTGCCTGCATGATACAATAATATAAAATACATATTTTCCTGAATAGGTATTTTGTCTGCTCTCTAGCATCATTATTTCGGAGGAGACGACCAGAGGCTTTCTGACTGTTCTGTTATATTTTAAAGTCTAAACACAAAAGCTGTTCAACAAGAAGAGCTTTAGCAATCTTCTAGTGTTTAGAGAAGTGTAAGTGCCGGTCGTTACGGAACAGATGCTGCGATTCCCGTCAACAGCTCACGATTAATATTTGACTCACTGTAAAGACTTTCACCTCCTGCCCATATAAGGCGACGAGACAAAGACGGAGACACAGATCCAAGCAGGGATGAGATGAGTACCCCGAGGAGACATCATCCTTGTTCCTTTTATTATTTCAAAGTGTGATCCTGACATGCAGCTCTGAATGGGAGGAAGTGGCATTATGTTTCCCATGGTGTATCTGAGGAAACCCAACCGTTGATGGTAAATCCTCAAGCACTTTTTCCATAATGAAGAAGCTCAGGGGAGCGATTTAGAGTTGTTTTTCGCAGGCTCAGCTAAAGGTGTGGCTTTAGTTTAAAAATAATAATAAAGTGCATATATTGTATTAAAGGAGAAGTTCGTTTTTTTTCAACCTGGTCCTTATTTCCAGCATGTGGGATGTAGATCTACTCACCCATAAAGGTTTGGAGTAACTTGGAGTCCTTCGGACGCTTTTAGATCCACACGCGATCGGCGTACATCCATACAACGCAAGTGRTTKGGGSMWYC